AGTTTGGAAAAACTTCCATATTGTCACTGTGACCTATCCAGAAATGCAGTAAATATATCCGGAAAGCATACACTGCACCCATCCTCTTGCCGGAACACGTAGGTGGGTGGGGGAGAGCTTAAAGGGACAATATAGTCACCAGAACAACTACAGCTTATTGGATTTGTTCTGGTGAGTAGAATCATTACTGTGACACCGTGCCCTTCGCCACTTGGGCCTGGAGAGGACTACTTGCCAGCCTCCTGCCATGTGACCATGGCCTTGGGAAGTATGGCCCTTTAAAAACCGTCTGTGGGCACATTGTGACTTTGGTGAACAATGCCCCTTTAATGTCACCAGGCCATGTAAAATAACTTGTTCGTGCCTTTTTCCCACTTGGTTCAGTAAATGAGGCTTACTGAACCAAGTATTACACAGGCGGACCACATAGAAGTGGAAGTGTGCGGCTAATTTACCTCCCAGGCTGGGAGGCTGCTGTAGGTAAATTGCAGACCGCTGGGTGACCCCCGTTCATGCAAACGAACACGTGGAGGTGGCCGTCTTTGTTCAGTCGAACGCGGTCAGTGGTGTGTGCAGCCAAATCCCTGGCACTGAAATCGGCTACATATTTACACGAACACCGCTGACCCTTACCTTCTCCTCCACTCAGTTTTCAGCCGCAGCGTCTAAGTCCCATTCGGCGATTTGAACTCACAGTGAGACTAAGTGTATGCGAATAGGACTTAGTAATTTTTTTCAGCGTAAAATTGACCGACGGCACAGCCCAAATCTATGGAACTGTTGTGGGCAGGAAAGTATGCTTCCGGTCGGTCACAAAGGACTTCCAGCTAACTTTTTAACTACTGGAGGGATTTGTATGATTTTTGGGGTAGGTTTGTATTTGAAGTATGCTGAGTAATAATATGTGTATATTTTTATGGAGATTGAATGTATAGTTTTAAAGTTATAGTAAATATTATATTTTTCCTGCCTGTGATAATTACATTAACCCATTGTGTACAGTAATTATATCACAGGCAGAGGGGAGGATTTTGTGGGAATGAATGGGAGTGTTTTACTGTATTGTACGTGTTTGATTGGCTGTTCTACAAACCCATGCAGGTGGTACTATGTGTGTAAAACCTGCATAAAAGAAAGCCCTTTAGTGCTAAATAAACAGACCTGCTTTACCCCTTCATGAAGTCTTGGCTCATGGTTGGGGGATGGGATAACTATATCACAATACTCCCCTGAGTTTAAGCTCTTATAAGAGCTTGTTCCTGCTCTCTGAACTCTAGGAGATGGTCACCCACTGGAAGCTGAACCCTGGTCTTGGATCCAGAGTGGGTTGAGGACGCCGAGACCCCAACCAAGTTGTGGCGGTTCGTGGGGTCTGCAGTGGTTATGGTGTCAAGTGGAGTGCTTGGAGCCCTCGGTGAGCACTAGGAGCATCCGTCAGCGTAAGGTACCCAGTCGGGGTGCCAGGTGTTCCGTTACAATTACCTTCAGGCCTTTTGCTGTAAACACTCTTTTCAGAGACAATGCAGTGTTTACATTACAGCCTAGTGATAACTTCACTGGCCACTCCTCAGAAGGCTGTTAGAGATCCTTCCTGGGTCATGGCTGCCTAAATCCAAACATTCAGTGTCTCCTCCCTCTGCATGCAGACACTGAACTTTCTTCATAGAGATTCATTGATTCAATTCATCTCTATGAGGAGATGCTGATTGGCCAGGGCTGTGTTTGAATCATGCTGGCTCTGCCCCGATCTGCCTCTTAGTTAGTCTCAGCCAATCCTAGGGGGAAGCACTGTGATTGGATAAGGCCACCACTTCTGATGATGTCAGCAGACTGCTTGTTTTTCTGAGTCTAACAGCATGCAGAGTTACAGCTTCAGGCTTGAATACAGTAAGATTTTGCTATATTTAGGAAGGCATAAGGGGACCAGGAGGGCAAGATGGTGGTTTTAACACTATAGGGTCAGGAATACTTATTTCCCATTATGGGAAAAGGGTATCCATGGCAGTGATACCTTGACAGACCGCCACATAGGTTTTATAGGGTTACTCATTAAACAGGGAGTTTGAGAATTTAATTATGAAATTGCCTGATCAGTTCCTGGTTTAGTAAACCCTGCATACAGGTTTCAGGCAGGTCGATCATAAACCAACTGAACTCCAATACAAATATTTGTTCAATAAAATGAACCAAAAGCGAATGTCAGCAGAAAGAGTTTGTCTATTATAAAGCTATATTTATATCTATAGACCTCCCTTCTGATTAGAGGCAGTGCAGAAAAACAGGGATTTATCTAATCTGGAGGGATAAAAGGCAGGCATACCCCTGCTAAAACTTTAATATCCTCCCCCAACTCCTCCCTTCGCACCATGAAGTGCCTTGAAACCAAAATGCCAGTGGCAGGCAAAGAAAATACCCTTGTATTTTTCAAGCACGAAGCAGGGTGAGGGAGCTGCAGCTTGGAAAGCTCTGCTTTGGTCCAGGAAGAGCCAGCGTGTAAGGACTCTGCTCACTACTCTGACAGGTGGAACAGATGCCAGAGACCTGCATTCCACCTGTTTTTATAAGTTCAGCTGATACCACGACGGGTAAGGCGAAGGTGCGCCCATACCGGGATGTCCTGGTGGTGGAATGCACACACAGATTGCAACGTGTTCCATTGTGAAATTGCAGCGTGTGCGGCCCATGCACAATGCGGTTTTACATTTTCAGATGCCAAAATTTCAATTTAACGGATTTTGATATTCCAGGAGCATATTTAAACTCAGAACCAACTACCTGTACACTCAGTCTCTGTTGCAAGTGTGTTCTCATCTGCCCTCCAACACACCAAAGCCATTAACGCAAGACTTTGCTTTTAGCTTATGGTTTCTAGCCTGAATTTTTGCCCTAGCTAGGATAAAAATTTAATTTTTTTTTCTCCCCCCTCACTAGGTCTAATCCTGAGTCTCCAGAAAGATCTACTGTGAAAAATCAAAAATTACTTCCAAAAACAAGCATTTAATTTGCGTTTCATGTGCACAACCAATGTCTGATGGATACAAAATAAAAATCTATAGGGTTTGTTCTAAGAAGCTTCAGAGGAAACTTTAAAAAAAAAAAAATATATATAACAATCAAACCCAGAGATGTCCTCATGTTTAAACTGGTTCCAACAGAATTTACAGTAAACTTTTGTATATGAAATCTGTGGCTGTTTAGTCTGCCCAGGTATCTGTTCTGTTTGCACCACCCGTTAAACCCCCTTCTTAGAAAATGCGTAGAATGTGAGAACTATCTGATTCAAGCTCAGATTCCTCCCTTTCCAGATCTTGAGGATAGATCAAGTGATTCCTCTTATAAAGCGTTTTGTTTTCCAGGAGAATAAATTGAAAAACTTGTTCATTCCCCCTAAGAATCTGTACTTCGACAACAACCTAAGATTAACAGGAGAAAATCGAGATCTTTTCCCTTTCATCCACAATTAAAAGATTTGATTTAGAGAGAATGGCAATATCTGGAAAAAAGCCTCATATCCAAAACACTTCAAAACAATATTTTCTATGAGAGAGGAACCAGAGTGTATATGGGAGAATATGGCAGTGGGAGATGTTGCTATAGCCCAATTGGGAAAGAAGACTACTCCACCCATTGGGGATTGAATTAAAAATGAATCTTTAACGTTCTAACCCAGCAATCTAAATGGGGTATTGTGGTGGTCCCTGTTCAGGAGTGCTTTCACGAAGGGAAGCCATTTGCCTCCCGAACGGGGACCACCACAATACCCCATTTAGATTGCTGGGTTAGAACGTTCACACCTCACAACATAAGTGTGAAACTGCAAGGGAAGTAATTGAGTGCTCCCCTGGGTGGCCGCTGTTTCGTATAGACGAACGCCATGGCACAAAACACGAAAGTACAGGGGAAACATGAAAAGAGACAGGGAAATCCAGGAACAGGCAGCAGTTTTACCACAGGTGGAATAGGATTTTCTTCAGGGAAAGCGTTTTACAAAGACTCCTTGCAGAGAAACTCGTACCAAGGTCAACAGAGGAGGTCGTTAGAAAGCGGCCAAGAGGAATGGTTCTTCGGCACTTATTCAAGAATCTTTGTCACAAAACCAGACAGTACATTCAGACTAATTCTTGATCAAAAGTTTGTAAACTAGTTAATAAAAAAAGTTTCATATGTAAACCATAAGCTCAGCCACTCATATTAGCCAACCTGGAAATTGGCTATGTTCCCTAGACTTAAAGGATGCATACTTGCAGAAAAAAAACCCCCAAAATAAAAACCAAACCACAAGAGATTTCTAAGATTTGCCATAAAATTTCAAAATCAGATCCTTCAATTTTTGAATTTTTTTAAGGCTCAAGGAAGACCCTTTGTCGACATCCAGTCCAAGCATCCTAAAGTTTGTAGAACTGGGCTTTGCTAGAGGGTTTAGACCGGACACTCAAGGTTTACATTTCTGTCAGTTTCTTAACCTTTAGAAATTGGCTCATAATATTCTAATTTCAAGATTCTTCAAGGCTTTGTCTCGTCAAGTTCCAACCATTAGGGAGGTTCTACCATGGGATATTAATCTAGTGTGATCAGCATTGTGCAAACCTCCATTTGAACGCTCTGAAAAAGAAATCACTCAAGGTAATCACGTTCAAAACTATTTTCAGTGGCAATTACTTCAGCAAAGCGTTTGTGTGCACTGAATTTGGATCATCCTCCAAGAAAGGTATCGAAGCTGGATCCATCGTTTATTACAAAGTTTGCTCTTCAAACAACATCAATAGATTGTTCTGCCAACTTCCTTCTAATTCTTTAGAATAACATTTCAATGCCTTGATGTTAAATGTGCATTACTGCAGTACTTGGGAAGTACAAGTTGCTTTAGAAAATCAAAGACTTTGTCCTGTTGGAAGGTGCAAGAAAAGGTCCAATATCATCAAAGAGTCTGTTGGCCAGATGGATTTAACTAGCAATTCCATACTTCAAACGTTTCTCCTCCTCAATCCATAAAAGTTCATCCCACAAGAGCTATGTCCACATCTTGGGCCTTCAGCTACCGCTTGTCAAATTTGTTTTGCAGCAATTTGGGCGCTCTCTCCACAGGTTTACTAAGCGTTACCGGTTAGACATACAGGCGTCTGAAACAAATCACGTTTTGGGCACAATATTACAAGCGGTGGTTAAATAATTCCCGCCCTTAGGGATTGCTTTGTTATCCCCATTGTCTTGCACTGCCCCTTATCTGAAGAAAAAAAAAAAAAAGCATACATTTTACTTGCCATTCATTTCGGTTTCCTGAGTATTAGAGGCAGTGCACACATTCCCCCACTATTTAATAAATAATTTTTGCAGTTTGTCGGTATTTTGGTTTCAAGTCACTTTATAGGGCAGAGGATCTTAAATTATTGTCTGCCTATTTTCCCTCCAGATTAAAGAAAGCCCTGTTGTCATGCACTGCCTCGAATTCTCAGGAAAAAATAAATAAATAAATAAAAAATATATATATATATAAAATTTATAGCAAGTAGACTTTATGCCATCTCCTAAATAACAGAATTCAGCAGTGCGACAGCAGGGGCCTGATCTATATACCAAAACGGCTTCATTTAGCTAAAGATGCTTTGGAGTTTAGGGTGTCCCTTTAAAGAGACACCCCAAGACATAATGTGGTTTCACTTTAAACACTGCGTGTTCTGCATAAAAATGTTGTATTCTGAAGAGTGGTCTAAAAATGTGACAATCGCCAATAAGCACATTCCACCAGTTTTACATCTGTAGACCACTTTTCAGAAACTGCACCCAATGTGGCAATATATACCAGAAAAAAAACCTTGAGCCTTATAGCGGTGAGTTCATATCTGTCCAATTTTACCCAGTCACTTGACCCTCCATTAATTGAAATGGGCATCATTCAGTAAGCATCAAGTATCTCTCCATAATAAATTGGTTGTGAATACAGCCCTGCTTTCTCTAGTGCAATGGAGACCCCTCTGACAGTGTCCAAGTAACAGTCTGGTTTAATATGTTCTACGACAATCAAAGAATAGGTCACAATGGCAATTTCATGCATGTCCTTTGGGTCCCTTTAAAACACACGTTAACCACTGGCCGGTTACATCTCAGAGTTCCACAAGCTGCTGCATGACTCCCGAAATGATGTAACTTTAGTCTGACATTGTTTGCTGCAGAGCTGCTATATGCACAGATTCTTAACTGGGCTGGTACTAAGTGAGAGGGTGATCTTCAGGTAAGTACATATCAACCTGTACATTTGCAGCTTGTTTATATCTATAACAATCTGAAGGTAAAGCCATTATCCATCCTGTGGATGATAAGTTTCCTCTGATTAATATATTTTGATTTGGCCGTTTGTCTTGATCTTAACGGTGCTGGAATTTCCGTGAAGATCTGTCTTTGGAACCTAAAAGTTGCTTTTCTGATGTAATATAAATGGAGAATGCATACTGAAAAATTATTTAAAAAAACAACTTTATTTTCTGTAGAAGATCTTACAACGTACAATGATTTGTGCACTCTTTACCTCCGATTAGATTGACATATGTGAATATCTGAATTTCTTCAGCATGGACCAGCCTGTTGTGTGCCAGTGCAATTCTCAATTAGTGCCATTAACCCCTTCCTGGCCGCCAGGAGATCAAACCAACTTCTGGACAGATACCAAACAGGTCTTTGCTTGCACAGGCGTATGATTTCAGCTAAAAGCATGTACATAAACAAAAACAAACAACTTGCTACACGGGCGCCACATTTAAAATATTGCGGGAATAAGAATTCTTCAAGCTTTGACGGGCCTCATTCTCACTCTTCAATAAACTGCTCGATATTAAAACAAAAATAAAAAAGGCTCCATGGTCTATTTTCCAGTCTGCAATCTAGGCTAAAAGAAATTCCCTGGTGGTGGTATGGAGCCTGCCAGAATCCTGTATAGTATGTAATATACAAATTAAGTTTAAAAAATATATATATAAAATAAAAATAGTGGTAACAAAAAAAAAAATAATATTTAAATAGTCCACATCTGCTCACACTTCATCTCTTAGCCACACAAAGAGGATTAACTTAATTTCCGGAGTGGTGGGTTGAGGATCTCCTCCCCTGAGCAGTGATTGAATAAGAGTCCCTAAGGTCAGCAAAAGTACTGGCGTGGTGTGTTCAACTTGCCACCATGGTCATGATGTTTGCCTGTGGACAAAACAAAATAGTCAATCATACTTCTTGAATCCAATAGGCGATGCTCAAAGCAAACGGCACAATCACAGAGCAGGTATGTAAACGTAAGAACCAATGCATGCAGATTTATGCTAGAATTTGTAGTGAATTGAAAAAGGTCAAACAGGATCCCGACTGGATGATTATGCCATTATTTCTGTTGGTAAGAAAAAAAAAAAAAACAAAAAAAAAACCAACCACACAACCCCAAACAACTTCAATTTCATGCGGGTGAAGCTAGTTTATAGTTGTGGTAGTTTGCTGGATAATGTATCAATAGGTCCCAGCAGACCCTTATAATGTAGGCATGTTATGATAACTGCAGCCCTCTCATTTCATATCATATAAATAGGTTTATATTGGCTGGGGTGAAATATTGTATATTGACATTTAGGGTGATTGGTTCATCCCAAATTCAATGTGTGAAATTACCTTTATAAACGAAGAGACCAGCTTTACAGACATGCCGTCTAAAGAAGATAGATCTTCCACCTATAGAAAGAGAAAGTCCAAAATCATTTGTTGTATTTACACACGTCCCTTTAATGCAGGACATATTAAAACATTGGTCAGTTTGATGGACACCAGTCACCAGAAGACGTCCCTACATTGGGCGAAACGCGTCAACTACATTTGGACCAATTATGGACTTATTTTGTATGTTTTAAATCACTTCCTGCTGGTTTTGTGAAGACCACCACGCTGTATTTGGTTCCACATTGTGTGGATACATGTACAGATTGTCTGCCTGCTTTAATCAAGGAGGAATGCAATCCACCAGCCTTCCCTATTGTTTTAACCCTTGGTGGGGTGAGTAGCCTTTTTTCACCTGTGTTTGTGAGTGCAATTCCTATAGAACACAAATTTTATCTTAACTGTATTACACGATGTAATGTCTATTATCATTACAGATCTATATTATTAAAGGAACACTATAGTTACCTAAATTACTTTAGCTAAAAAAGCAGTTTTAGTGTATAGATCATTCCCCTGCAATTTCACTGCTCAATTCACTGTCATTTAGGAGTTAAATCACTTCGTTTATGTTTATGCAGCCCTAGCCACACCTCCCCTGGCTATGATTGACAGAGCCTGCATGAAAAAAAACTGGTTTCACTTTCAAACAGATGTAATTTACCTTAAATAATTGCATCTCAATCTCTACATTGAACTTTAATCACATACAGGAGGCTCTTGCAGAGTCTAGCAAGCTATTAACATAGCAGGGGATAAGAAAATCTTAATTAAACAGAACTTGCAATAAAGAAATCCTAAATAGGGCTCTCTTTACAGGAAGTGTTTATGGAAGGCTATGCAAGTCACATGCTGGGAGGTGTGACTAGGGTTCATAAACAAAGGGATTTAACTCCTAAATGGCAGAGGATTGAGCATTGAGGCTGCAGGGACATGTTCTATACACCCAGGGCCGGCCTTAGGTAATCAGGCGCCCTGTGCGAACCCAACACGTGGTGCCCCCCCTGCAGCAAAACCCTTGCCCCTTCAACAATAGCCCTGTTCCGCCTACTACAAAACCCTTCCACAAAACCCCTGCCCCCTTTCTACAAAAACTCTGCCTCCCTTTAATAAAACCCCTGCCCCTTCTACAAAACCCCTGCTCCCCCTTTAATAAAAGCCCTGCCCACCGTTCTACAAAATTCCTTCTCCTCCTTTAACAAAACACATGCTGTCATTATATATATCTACTATACAGTAATGTACACATATCACTAAAAACCTTCCCCTCCACCAAAACCACTGCCACCCTCTACAAAAGCCCTGCACTCATTCTACATAAACCTCTGCTCCTTCTACATAAACCTCTGCTCCCCTTCTACTAAACCCCTGCTCCTTTATACTAAACCCCTGCTCCCCTTCTACATAAACCTCTGCTCCCTGATACTAACCTCTGCTCCCCTTCTATATAAACCTCTGCTCCCCTTATACTAAACCCCTGCTCCCCTTCTATATAAACCTCTGCTCCCCTTATATAAACCCCTGCTCCCTTATACTAAACCTCTGCCCCCTTATACTAAGCCCCTGCCCCTTATACTAAACCCCTGCTCCCTTATACTAAACCTCTGCTCTCCTTATACTAAACCTCTGCTCTCCTTATACTAAACCCCTGCTCCCCTTATACTAAACCCCTGCTCCCTTATACTAAACCCCTGCCCCCTTATACTAAACTCCTGCCCCCTTATACTAAACCCCTGCCCCCTTATACTAAACTCCTGCCCCCTTATACTAAACCCCTGCCCCCTAATACTAAACTCCTGCCCCCCTTATACTAAACCCCTGCTCCCCTTATACTAAACCCCAGTCCCCCTTATACTAAACTCCTGCTCCCTTATACTAAACCCCTGCCCCCCTTATACTAAACCACGGCTCCCTTATACTAAACCCCTGCTCCCCTTATACTAAACCCCTGCGCCCTTCTACAAAACCTCTGCTCCCCTTATACTAAACCCCTGCCCCCCTTATACTAAACTCCTGCCCCCTTATACTAAACTCCTGCCTCCCTTATACTAAACTCCTGCCCCCTCTACAAACCCCCTGCCCCCTCTTGAACAAAACCCATGCCCCCTCCAAAAAATCCTTTCCTCTGCCACTTCACCAGAAATGCTTGCCCCCTCTTCTACAAAACCTCTCCCCTACACCAAAACCTCTACCCCCTATTTTACAAAACCCCTAACCCCTTCTATAAATCCTCTGCTCCTCCCTAAACCAAAACCCCTGTCCCAAAATCCCAGCTAGAAAACCTCTGCTCCCCCACACACAAAAACACCTGCCACCCTTAAAAAAACAAAACAAAAATCTATTTAATAAAAAAATGCAATAGTTATAACAAGAATGAGCAGACTCACATTGAAGCTTGCTGCTCCCTGGACCCTCCTGACAGTGTCCCAGTTTGCCGACCTTGATACCAAAGCACTGACCACCTCCCTCAAACTGACTGTGCGGATCCTTCCGCGAATGACTGTGGAGGCGGAGCACGCTCTTCCTCTGTGCTCCTGACCTACTTTCTCTCCCGGCCGCTCATAATTTGCAAGTCAAGTGCACAGCATTATGCACTTGACTTGCTCTGTACATGACTCAGGCCGAACTGTGAGTGACTGAGTGCGAGCTGTGTCAGCCGCCCGGCGCCCCTGTTGCCATGGCCCCTGGATGTTTTCCACTTTTTGTTACTATATGTATATTGGGTGGTTGTGAGGTACACCTGGGTCACACCTAGTTTTCACGTACCACTTAATTTTCTACTAGAGTGTGTGTATGTGTATATAATATATATATATATATATATATATATATATATATATATATATATATATATATATATATATATATATATATATATATATATATATATATATATATATATATATATATATATATATATTTTTTTTTTTTTGTTCAATCCTACGGGGAAGCATTATGATTAGCGCACAGAATCACTGATGTCAGCCGAGCAGGCAGACCAGGGTCAGAGGCAGCAGCTGCAGACTTTAATACTAGCAAGATTTTCTTTTTAGGGAGGCAAGCGGGGCCTGATAGTGGTTTTAACACTATCGAGTCAGGAATACGTTTGAGTTCCTGACCCTATACTGTTTCTTTAATATTTTGAACCTTCTTTGGGCGCAGCGACTTTGGAAACTGGCCTGTAGTTGACATTGAATGCTGTAGGGTTGGTTCCAAGGAAAAATATTGAGAGGGTAGGGGCAAGATTATAAAAATAATTCTTATACAATGTAAATTGGTCCATGCATGGTATATAGAAGACCAGAATGTTATGGGATATTTGCAGATTAGCCCTGATTGCCTGACTATAGGATAGACATTGACCACAATATTTCAGCAAGATTTTTTTTTTTTTTTTATGCTTGTGGATTTAATGTCTGGTACTCACACTTTTGAAGGGTCCATTGACCTCCCTCCAACCCACTATGAGTTTTGCTTTTTTATCTCCAATCTTCTGCAGAGACTTGAGTTCCTTCACGGAGCCAGCGTTGAGAAGATTTAGTATTTTCTCTCGGCTGGTCTGGAGCAAATCCGTTCGAATATTAACTTCCCAGCCGAGCTCGTTCTCACTCCCAGTGCATTTGGACTTCTAAGGGCACAAACACAGAGTTACACAGTTATTAACACTGCACATTGCACTGCTGTATGGGGAGAAAAAATAAAAATCCTTATATCAGACTTAAGACTCTTCCACAAACCTTCTTCTCAATGACTGGCAGCCCCTCTTCCAGGATGGCGTTTTGCTGTCTGTTGTGGTCTGAAAAAAGCATAACTGGTTAGTGGCATTGTCATAAGCCAGGAAATATAAAACAAAGTACAAACTGGAGGCAAGCATCTAACCTCACCCAAACAATGCCCTGGGTACTTGCCAGCTAGAGAGACACATTCTCCTTGCCCCAATGGATATGTTAAGGGTTTTAACTTTTCTGTGCCAACTACACTATTCTATGCTGACTGTTCCTGCATAACTCCTATCATGCTCTGCCAGCAATTACCCAGTCCAAGGTAGATTGTGCACCAATAAAGTTGACCCATACCCAGGTCAGGCCCAGACTGCTGTCTCCCTGCCATATCTCCAGGATGCTCACCCTGCAGGGGCAGGACACGGACAATCTTCTTTGCTTTAGCAGTCGACGTGATCCGGTTCCTTCCTCTCAAAGGTGCTCTGAATGTGCTTTCATTCACACTGCAATCCGACAGACTGTTGTCCGATTTCTCCAGTCGGGATTCAGCCACCATGGCTTTTTGTTCCAACTCTTTCTGCCTCTCCTTGAGCCTCTGGTAACAAGCAAAAAAAAAAATAAAATGATAAAGAAAAGTGGTGAGATCCTGGACAAGTATTCACTAAAGAGTGAGCACAAAGAATGAACCTGGAAAACAATACCATCTATGTTATAAATGCATTCTCTCACCTCAATCTCCACCTGACTCTCCTCCCATTTCTTTAATAACGCCATCCGTTCCCGCTTGGGTGTGCTCAGCAGCTGAGCATCCTTTATGCTCTTTTCAGTCAAGATCTTATCCAACTTTAAGAGTCTCTCCACCACAGCTGGGTCCAATGAAGCCAGGTTGAGTTTATACCTATAGAGTTACAGGAGACAGAATCTTAATGGCCAACAGGGCAGGAAGGTTAGACGGGTAGGACCTTGCTTGTTACTGAAGGACTTACTGGGTGGCATTGGCACTAGAGTTTGGAGACTCCTCATTATCCTCAGTTTTGGATTTCTTTCGCTGGCGAGAAGCGGTTGGTGCTTCTACATCATCCCGAGGCCTCTTCATTGTGGGTTGGACTGTGTTACAAAAAAACAAAACCAAAAGCTCCAGTCAATAAACATAGATCCAATATCAAACAGGAGCAATATTAGCTGGGGATTTCAGTTGTGGAAAAGGACGGGGGGGCTTGAACAAGAAACACCCATACCCAATAATCCAAGGGTTCTGTCCATATTCAGTAAGAGCATACGTTTCACATTGTGGTGACAGACAGGATGTAGTATTTAAATGCAGTACAAGGTCAAAAGAGTACATTTCTCATACTGCTTTGTGAATGGGGTGCTAATCATAGGCTAAGACCATCTGTTGACGTTCTCTGAAAATCAGTTGCTCCCACTCAGAGGCTTCTGCACGGAGACCTCAGAACCTTGTTGGAAGGAGAGGGGAGGAGCGCACAACTTCCATCTTTGCAACTATGGAGTTAAACGGTCCATAAACTATTATACTCTTATGGTAAGGCGATGCCCAGAAACTCCTGGCATCTTAAATACATACATTTTTTGAATTAGAGAGTTAACATAGAAATTCTGGTTTAAAATCTGCAGAGTAGCAACAAAAAAAAATTAAATGCAAAAAAAAAAAAAAAAGTTGATGGTTTGAGTGTAGAACATATTATTGAAGACTATAATCTAGGAGGGGGATATTGATGTACGGATTGTTTTGCACTCATAATAAAGATAAAGAAAAAGGAGTTTTATCCTCCACCCAGCCAGAGCCCCCAGCCCGACCTCCTCACCTGTTACTTGTGTGGACTCCTGACAGAAAGGCTTGTTAATGATCTGTTTGGATTTAGCAGCAAAGTTGAGAGCAGTAAGAGTATCAAAATAATACTTCTCTTCTGGAGCAATGTTGGTTATCATGACGCTGTGAGCCGAACCTCCCAGGGAATCCTAAGGAAATATAAAACCCACAACAATGTGAAACTAGTACCGTGGGTGCTGGACCCTTGGGGAATAACAGGAAGACCAATTTCCCCCAAAAGAGGGTGTAACACTGAGCATCTTAAAGGACCACTCTAGGCACCCAGACCACTTCAGCTTAATGAAGTGGTCTGGGTGCCAGGTCCAGCTAGGCTTAACCCATTCTTTTATAAACATAGCAGTTTCAGAGAGTAAAAATCAAACGAAAAAACAGCTAGTTGTTAGTAACTGCAGTTGCTTCCAAAGAGAGACTACCTTTTTAAGGGCACCTCCTGTCACTTCCACATACTTCATGTGAAGGAAGTTCTAATTAGTACAATCACGTTTGGTCATTATGAAGATAACTACCAGTTAGCTCATCCATCCAACATCCTCCATTAGGTTTCCATGGTGACAGAATAGTTCATCCATTGCGACAAATTAAACAAATTGATGGAGGATACTAAAGGCTCACCTGAGAGTGCAGGGATCACACAGAGAAACTGCTATGTTTATGAATGGGTTAAGCCTTCCCCCAAATCCTCTAGTGGCTGTCTGAATGCTTTCCTATGCGACCGGCTGAATGCGCGCGCAGCTCTTGCCGCACGTGTGAATTCAGCCGACGGGGCGGAAAAAAGGTACGTTTTTCCCCCTTTCCCCTTCCAAGACCAGGCGGGAGGGGGACCCCGAGGGTGGGGGCACCCTCAGGGCACTATAGTGCCAGGAAAACACACTTGTTTTCCTGGCACTATAGTGGTCCTTTAACTGAAACATTCCAGATTTCCATAAATCCCACACGTATTGGGGACACAGGCAGTAACTCCCAATGCATCCGGCAAGCGGTCTATTGGCTGCTGGCAAGGACAACGAATAGAATGTCTACATACATCATGCAATTGCAAATGGCTAGCAAAACAAATAGATGGAGTTTTTGTGAATTTGACAATTCTTTTCAAATAATTTGTATATACATGTGCACAATTGCCATAACGCCTTTTCTTTTTTTTTGTATTGTATTATTCACCTGCCTCAATAAAAGAAAGATTGAAAGACATCTTAGATGGAAAGCTATATAGCGTTGATTTTCAACTTCCAGTCCATGTTATGGCTATACCAGCAACTATGAAAGACTTTGGTTTACTGACTCACAAGCTTCAGTCCCAAAAGTAAGAGGCGGCCACCCAAGTCTCTAATAATGCACCTACTTTCTGGGAACAAAGACACCTATCTACAGCTTTCCAGAAGGGGAACCCATCATACAGTTTGAGAAGGGATCGTGTCAGCAAATGCACAGATTCACAATGGAGATTACAGAATGCAAAGGTTTTAATGTCTTTTCAGACCATTAAAGAAACAAAAGATAAAATGGTTACAACTAATAACCCAGCAATGGGTAATCCAGAGTCCACAATTACCTGCAGTAGCCTGGTGAGCTTGCTGTCTCTGTAAGGAATACGCGGGAGTCCCTGATTCAAAGCATCAACGACCTTACTAAGTGTGAATAACGAAGAGTTGATGGCACCGCTCTCCTTCAGACGGATTCCTTGATTTCCAGTGCGTCTGTTATCCTCCGACCCAGCCAGGTCAATCAAGTACAGCTTTCCGGTTAGCTGCCTGTATGGAACCACCTGCTGGTTCTTTTGCACCTATTGCCACCAATTAAAAGGATGTAAATCAAGATATGGTCTACTGGATCATGGGAGACTATACACATTAATGGTAGCTGAAAGACTAATATTACATGAGCCGATATTACTGAACCTGTCCTGATAACATACAGTCAGATCCCCTACATTAGATATAAACCCAGCGCTGTCTGAGCCTGTCCTGATAACGTGCAGTCAGATCCCCTACATTAGATATAAACCCGGCGCTGTCTGAGCCTGTCCTGAAAATGGTTGTCAGATCCCCTACATGAGATATAAACCCAGCGCTGTCTGAGCCTGTCCTGAAAATGGTTGTCAGATCCCCTACTTTAGGTATAAACCCAGTGCCTCTTGGAGCTTGTCCTATAGCTTTAACCCAGCACTGTATGAGCCTGACTGGATAATGTGTGGATCTCAACGTATACAAAAACCTTACATATATGTTTCCTGTATATGGTGGAAGACCAGCTCACCTTGATCAGGAGCACTGCGTGGCTGCGGCTGGATCGGTCGTTCAGTTTAGTAGATGCGACAGTGCGGTTTTGGCTGGCCAGCATGAAGTGCTCGTCAAAGTCTGCAAATGTGTTAATCGTCTTCTGAGTGAGTCCAGGAATCAGAATGTTATGGTCCTTGTCTTCTCTGATAGGGAGGTCCTTGTTTTTAGGCTCCAACAAATCCATGACCTGAATAATCACAGCACAATTGTAGCGTTACTGGGAGATCTTATGGAGGCAAAAATAAATAAATAAATAAATGCAGATTTCCCAACAGCAAGACTTGCCTTCTCTTGGTAAATCTCCACATAAGACATGGTTATGGAGTAAGTCCAGGTTTCATCGTCAGCAGTGCTGCTTGCTGCCCGAGCCATCTGAAGAAGATCTCTAACTGCCCGCGGTATGATTCCTGGCTGACCAGGACTTCCCTGCATTGTGTGAGTCTTTCCTGGAGAAGAAGGAATTTTATAGGAATTTCAGTGGTTTAGCCATTTACAAATTCACCAACATAATCGGCTCTACAGCCCATCAAAATCCAAAGTCTAAAAACATGCATGTCCAAGGAGGTATTCTGAGAACTGCTCATTGTGCAGGATTTGTGGGATGGTAATCCTACACAATTTGTTACATTACTTGAAGACATGAGGATTTCTTTGGCTTAGAAATGTTGCTTTATCACATTTAGTATGTTTCAAGATAAACAAAACCATATTTAGGATTAACTGCCGTCAAGACTTTTCATTCAACCTGTATTGCAACTACATCCATTATGGAGGTATACAAAATAAAGCTTATTTAAAGCAACCCATAACAATGAAATCCTCTTAGGCCCACAGTCTGCGCAAGTCGCTTTAATGCCCTCCCCTTAAAGTACCGGCTCCTGTTGGTCCATATGCAAAGACGCTCGCATTCTGTCCAATGAGCAGCTTAGAAAGGATTGGATAGACGGAGCCTGTATAAACCTCCCTCTGCGTAGAGTCGTTTCCATAAAATGCATCAAACCTGTGTGAGAATAAGCCGGGTTAACATGTACGTTGCCAAAACCATAATCCAGCTCAGCCAATCGAACAGCAGAGTGCAGAAACAACAAGTGTGCACATTACAAATATCAGGTGTAATTAGAAAGACTTGATAATGGCTTCTTGCTGGCAGTCGGAAACAAACTGCCCTCAAAGCAAAACCATATTTTACACGGTTTAACAAAAAGCATGCCCGCCCTGCCTGCCACAGCCTGGCTCTGTGTCGCGCGGGTAATGTGGGAGTTTAATATCTGTGTTATCCGACCAGCCCCAATAAGCTGAGCTGTGAACACCCAGGTGACCTATTACCTGTCATTGCTGTACGAGATAAAAATGGACATGAGCTCCGACATTAATCATTAGCTGCAGAGAGACCAGGACTTGAGTGTCAGGAAAGCCTTGGATTTGATCAAACTGCTTCTACGAGGTTTAGTTACAGTAGTTGTGGTACTTGTACTTTCCCTTTAAAAACAGTAACCTGGTTTTATACCTTCTCTAGGCCCATTCATAAAATCACTCCTGTAATGCACAAAAATCATATAGAGGAAGCCACTTGGTATGAATGGCATGTGCCAATCCCAGAAAATGCCAGCCTATGCAGATCCATAGTCACTGCATTAACACCTAACCAGCTAATCCCCGGCCATGCCAGCTCCCCATGGCAGTACTTACTGGTAATGCATGGTCTCCAGTTGATTTCTCCAGTTTACAATTTCAAGAGATTGTGAGTCCAAGCCTCGCACACACAACCGCTTGCCATTAACCTCCTCCTTGTCCATGTACGGCCTCAGTCGCACGGCAACACGCACGCGGGCAGTAGATGCCTTCTTGTTTCCTCCATGATAATCCATTAGACTCACCCGTTTTGCCATGTTCAGCTAAATGAAAGACAGGAGAGTGGTCAAAACAGCAAACTATATCTGACAAGACAAAAATGCCATCAGAAAACACTGAATAACTAAATGGCAACAGTTCTCTTTACACTGAATCTCACTTCTTGGCATTGTTATGTTCCAAAGAGGCTCTTTGGAAAGGGCACCATCTTCCCATGATATCCTGCATGTGGTAAGTGGCAAGATTGAGGGAATCAAGGGACATTTGGAATTTGCATTAAATGTCATCCTGTGCCAGGACAGTGTTTCCATTTCATATAAATCAAATCCAAATACAACAGAGTGTTAAAGTAAAAATCAAACGAAAAAACAGCTAGTTGTTAGTAACTGCAGTTGCTTCCAAAGAGAGACTACCTGATTAAGGGCACCTCCTGTCACTTCCACATACTTCATGTGAAGGAAGTTCTAATTAGTACAATCACGTTTGGTCATTATGAAGATAACTACCAGTTAGCTCATCCATCCAACATCCTCCATTAGGTTTCCATGGTGACAGAATAGTTCATCCATTGCGACAAATTAAACAAATTGATGGAGGATACTAAAGGCTCACCTGAGAGTGCAGGGATCACACACAGTGATCTAGGCAGGTCTATGAAGCTACCCTGTTGATGTTTCTTTCCCGATTGCACACACGTGGGGCCCTCACCAAAAAGAAATTCTGCCAAAAAAAATTTAAAAAAAGGTCATAATTAAATATACACACAGCAAAGGATGTTATGAAAAATATATCAATGGTTTATTTAAAATTCCAACAGTCCCCAAAAAACCTGGTCACTCAGACGGCCACTAGAGGTACTTCCTATATCAGTGCTGCGCAGTGTGGAGCATTGGCGTTCAGTGTCTCCATGCTCTGCATGAAGCCTCTAAACTTCCCCATAGAGATGCATTTATTCAGTACATCTCTACGAAGATATGCCGATTGACATTTTGTGCAATAGCTCCCCAATGCGAAGTCATTACATTGGTTGAGATCACCAAAACTGATAATCCGAGCCATGGAGGTAGGGCAAGTCGCGGTGAGAGAGAAAGGGTGTGTAATATCACCTTTAAAATGTGCTCTGAATACATGTTTCTATTCCTGACACGACAGTGTTCCTTTAATGCCATGTGTTGCCTGTCTGAATCAGACATTGCTACTGAAAGCTTATGAGACTGTGTAATACAGTAGAGGCCTGTGTATGCGGCGTTGTGGGATATTACATTAACAGACGTTTCGCACACTCACGCATATGTGACAAAACGGCAGAGACACGACACCCGGCGCCGCCAGAATCGGAGGACTAAGCTAAGGGAGTGGTTAAGGTTAACATAGCTACATTACCCAATTTGTCAGCGTATCCCCGGGTAAGTGGATCGGTCGCATTATCTACATGCTTTAGGCAAGTTTCTTCTTAAAAACATCGCAGTATTAATTATCGACACCAGGGCTGCAAAGTTTAAGTCTTGCTAGCCATTCCTAAAGGATACTAGCCAAGCAAGTCTGGAGAAACCATGACATACAAACCGGTGTGAATTTCTACTCGCATGGGGTAAATTTTCACTGGCCTAGTGGTCATTTTGAGTTCTGGCAGACATTGTGACTTCATTTCTGCAGGTGAACATGAAAAGCAAAAGGTGACGCTAATTTTACAGCTTATTGCTCCCTGGAGCAAGACAAACACAAAGAACACAGCCATTCCTGTCCCGTCTCCTATCCCCTGACCATTCTGTAATACCAAATCGGTTATAAATCTACAATGTATAACCAGGTCAGTCTGAAGTCATCCGTTAAATTATATTTGGATACAAGATTATAGTGAGCGCCCAACCAATATGGGGGGACAGTGTGGTAAAGGAGTGCTGGGTGATTTATGGGAAAATGTGTTCCCCCACCATCGTAGAAAATAACCCATAACAACACAGTTATACTGACCTAGAGCAGGAGATAATATTCGGTTATTACCGGCTGGGGGGCCGGGGATATTCGGTTATTATTACCGGCTGGGGGGCCGGGGATATTCGGTTATTATTACCGGCTGGGGAGCCGGGGATATTCGGTTATTATTACCGGCTGGGGGGCCGGGGATATTCGGTTATTATTACCGGCTGGGGGGCCGGGGATATTCGGTTATTATTACCGGCTGGGGGGCCGGGGATATTCGGTTATTATTACCGGCTGGGGGGCCGGGGATATTCGGTTATTATTACCGGCTGGGGGCGGGATGTCGGTTATTGCTGGGGGATGATGGGTTATTATTACTGGGGGATGTTCGTTATTATTACCGACGGGGCGGGGATGGGTTATTATTACCGATTTGGGGATGTCGGTTATTGTCGGGGGTTGTTGTGTCGGGGCGGATGTCGGTTGTGGGGGCGGGGATCGGGTTATTGTGCTGGGGGATGTCGGTTACGGGGCGGGGATGTCGGTTGTGCGGTCGGTTGTGTGCGGGGATGGGTTGTGCAGGGGCGGGGATGTTCGGTTGTGCCGGACGGGGATGGGTTATTATTACCGGGGCGGCGGGATGTCGGTTATTATTACCGGGGCGGGATGATGGGTTATTATTACCGGGGGATGTCGGTTATTATTACGGGGATGATGGGATGTGTGCGGGGCGGGGATGTGGGTTACGGGGCCGGGGATATTGGGTTATTATTACCGGGGCGGGGATGTCGGTTGTCGCTGCGGGCCGGGGATATTCGTTTATTATTACCGGCTGGGGGGCCGGGGATATTCGGTTATTATTACCGGCTGGGGGGCCGGGGATATTCGGTTATTATTACCGGCTGGGGGGCCGGGGATATTCGGTTATTATTACCGGCAGGGGGGCCGGGGATATTCGGTTATTATTACCGGCTGGGGGGCCGGGGATATTCGGTTATTATTACCGGCTGGGGGGCCGGGGATATTCGGTTATTATTACCGGCTGGGGGGCCGGGGATATTCGGTTATTATTACCGGCTGGGGGGCCGGGGATATTCGGTTATTATTACCGGCTGGCGGGCCGGGGATATTCGGTTATTATTACCGGCTGGCGGCCGGGGATATTCGGTTATTATTACCGGCTGGGGGCCGGGGATATTCGGTTATTATTACCGGCTGGGGGCCGGGGATATTCGGTTATTATTACCGGCTGGGGGCCGGGGATATTCGGTTATTATTACCGGCTGGGGGCCGGGGATATTCGGTTATTATTACCGGGGGGCCGGCCGGGGATATTCGGTTATTATTACCGGGGGGGCCGGGGATATTCGGTTATTATTACCGGGGGGACGGCCGGGGATATTCGGTTATTGTTACCGGCTGGCGGTCGCTGTTGCTCGGGGCCTGCGGACGATCATCGGTTACTCGGAGCCTTTTTCATATTTGGCGGCGCAGGGACGGGCGGCCAATGAACGCGCTGCTCTCTGTCACGTGACCCGCAAACTGCCGTCAGACCGAGGCTTGAGGCGCAAGGGGCGCGTCACTGGTCCATTTAAAAACAGAGCGTTCCAGCGTCCGACGTGACGTGCGTCACCGGGCGGCCATGTTGGATTCTGGCAGAGTCCCACACTGGGATTGTTATCATAGATCGCGATCCGCGCTATTCACTAACAGGAGAGCAATGCTTCCGGTTCAGCTATTTATTATCTCCGAATTCGCAGTTTAGCGAATAACCCGGATTATCTCTCCTCGCGTTCACCTCACGATAACGGCTCTGCCCAAAACAAAGATGGCCGCCGGCACCTCCTGCCCCTCCGCCGCCATGTTGGCTCCCAGACCGGAAGTGGGGAATGGCTGAATAAATGTCGGCTCTCCCGCTGTGTGCGGCACCGGGTGGCGGGCAGTGATCGATAAACCGGGGGATTACCGCGATATAGCGCGCTCACAGCCCGGTGCATTGTGTGGGCGGATGTGACGTCATGGGGGAGAATGGCGGCTGAGCTGACAGTGTCTCCAAACTGAGCCCCAGCATGCTGCCAGCCAATAATAATATAATATAATATAATAATAATAATAATAATATCACCACAACACCGGCCCTGACTGACTGACTGAGCGAGCCAGGGTGAGTTACTACAATAATAATAATATACTACCCTATAGTGATCCTACTAACACTGCCCTACAGTAATGATCATAATACTACCAGCTATTACTACCCTACAGTGATCCTACTAACACTGCCCTACAGTAATGATCATAATACTACCAGCTATTACTACCCTACAGTGATCCTACTAACACTGCCCTACAGTAATGATCATACTACTACCAGCTATTACTATCCTATAGTGATCCTACTAATACTGCCCTACAGCAATGATCATACTACTACCAGCTATTACTACCCTATAGTGCTCCTACTAATACTGCCCTACAGCAATGATCATACTACTACCAGCTATTACTACCCTATAGTGATCCTACTAATACTGCCCTACAGCAATGATCATACTACTACCAGCTATTACTACCCTATAGTGATCCTACTAATACTGCCCTACAGTAATGATCACAATACTGCCAGCTACTACTACCCTATAGTGATCCTACTAACACTGCCCTACAGTAATGATCACAATACTACCAGCTATTACTACCCTATAGTGACCCTACTAACACTGCCCTACAGTAATGATCATACTACTACCAGCTATTACTACCCTATAGTGATCCTACTAATACTGCCCTACAGTAATGATCATACTACTACCAGCTATTACTACCCTATAGTGATCCTACTAACACTGCCCTACAGTAATGATCATAATACTGCCGGCTATTACTACCCTACAGTGATCCTACTAACACTGCCCTACAGTAATGATCATACTACTACCGGCTATTACTACCCTACAGTGATCCTACTAACACTGCCCTACAGTAATGATCATAATACTACCAGCTATTACTACCCTATAGTGATCCTACTAATACTGCCCTACAGCAATGATCATACTACTACCAGCTATTACTACCCTATAGTGATCTTACTAATACTGCCCAACAGCAATGATCACAATACTGCCAGCTATTACTACCCTATAGTGATCCTACTAACACTACCCTACAGTAATCATACTACTACCAGCTATTACTACCCTATAGTGATCCTACTAATACTGCCCTACAGTAGCCGTGCAATACCCGCAGCTACACTGCCCTGCGCCGGTAGTCACGCTTGCTGCCTACGTGGCATTCGCGACACCACCGGCTATTACACCTCGCGGTGATCCTACTAACGCAACACCACAGTAGTAGTCATGCTACCGGCTATTACTACCCCTATGAGTGATCCTGCTGGCACTGCCCTGCAGTAGTAGTCATATGCGTATACTGCCTACAGTGATCCTACTAACGCTTTGCCCTACAGTAATGATCATGCTACTACCCATTGTGCACCTACGGTGATCCTACTAGCACTGCCGCAGTAATGATCATAATACTACCGTATTACTACTATAGTGATCACACTAATACTGCCCTACAGCAATGATCATACTGCTACCGACTATTTGCACTACCCTATAGTGATCTTACTAGCTGCCCTACAGTAATGATCATACTACCAGCTATTACTACCCTATAGTGATCCTACTAACACTGCCCTACAGTAATGATCATACTACCAGCTATTACTACCCTATAGTGATCCTACTAACACTGCCCTACAGTAATGATCATACTACTACCAGCTATTACTACCCTATAGTGATCCTACTAACACGGCCCTACAGTAATGATCATACTACTACCAGCTATTACTACCCTATAGTGATCCTACTAACACTGCCCTACAGTAATGATCATACTACTACCAGCTATTACTACCCTATAGTGATCCTACTAATACTGCCCTACAGTAATGATCATACTACTACCAGCTATTACTACCCTATAGTGATCCTACTAACACTGCCCTACAGTAATGATCATACTACTGCCAGCTATTACTATCCTATAGTGATCCTACTAACACTGCCCTACAGTAATGATCATAATACTGCCAGCTATTACTACCATATAGTGATCCTACTAATACTGCCCTACAGTAATGATCATAATACTGCCAGCTATTACTACCCTATAGTGATCCTACTAATACTGCCCTACAGTAATGATCATACTACTACCAGCTACTACCCTATAGTGATCCTACTAATACTGCCCTACTGTAATGATCATACTACCAGCTATTACTACCCTATAGTGATCCTACTAACACTGCCCTACAGTAATGATCATACTACCAGCTATTACTACCCTATAGTGATCCTACTAACACTGCCCTACAGTAATGATCATACTACTACCAGCTATTACTACCCTATAGTGATCCTACTAATACTGCCCTACAGCAATGATCATACTACTACCAGCTATTACTACCCTATAGTGATCCTACTAATACTGCCCTACAGTAATGATCATAATACTACCAGCTATTACTACCCTATAGTGATCCTACTAACACTGCCCTACAGTAATGATCATAATACTACCAGCTATTACTACCCTACAGTGATCCTACTAACACTGCCCTACAGTAATGATCATACTACTACCAGCTATTACTATCCTATAGTGATCCTACTAATACTGCCCTACAGCAATGATCATACTACTACCAGCTATTACTACCCTATAGTGCTCCTACTAATACTGCCCTACAGCAATGATCATACTACTACCAGCTATTACTACCCTATAGTGATCCTACTAATACTGCCCTACAGTAATGATCATAATACTACCAGCTATTACTACCCTATAGTGATCCTACTAACACTGCCCTACAGTAATGATCATAATACTATCAGCTATTAGTACCCTATAGTGATCCTACTAATACTGCCCTACAGTAATGCTCATAATACTACCAGCTATTACTACCCTATAGTGATCCTACTAATACTGCCCTACAGTAATGCTCATAATACTACCAGCTATTACTACCCTATAGTGATCCTACTAACACTGCCCTACAGTAATGATCATAATACTACCAGCTATTACTACCCTATAGTGATCCTACTAATACTGCCCTACAGTAATGATCATAATACTACCAGCTATTACTACCCTATAGTGATCCTACTAATACTGCCCTACAGTAATGATCATAATACTACCAGCTATTACTACCCTCTAGTGATCCTACTAATACTGCCCTACAGTAATGATCATACCACTACCAGCTATTACTACCCTCTAGTGATCCTACTAATACTGCCATACAGTGCTCATACTGCCATACAGTACTAATACTACCTCCTCAACACTGGCCTTTAGTAATAATACTGAAATCTTTATTTTATTTAGATGCAGGAGACATCGGAGGATGGAGAAGAAAAAGTTACTGCTGGCATGGAGTCTCTGGCGGTAAAGGAGGGAGACGTGGAGACTGAGGACGACGACAGAGAGGAGAGTCAGAAAGAAGGAGAGGAGAATGAGGCGGAAGAGGAGCAGGAGCAGCAGCAGGAGGAAGGCAATGAAGAGGAGGAGGATGAGGAGGAGGGAGAAGATTGGTGTATACCATGCAGTGATGAGGAACTAGAGGACACTGAAGGGTGGCATCCACCCCCGGAGGAGATTAAGAGGCTATATGAGCTCATATCTAGTGAGGGCACGCTGCCTCTAGAAGTGGAGACACTGCTTCGTCGCCCTCCAACTCCTGAACCAGATCCGTCAGAGGAGGAGTCCGATCAGGAGCAAGAGGAAGATGGAGAGGAGGAGGACATGTGAGTGTGAATGCTACCATCTAGTCCAAACAAATGTCTATTAAAGGGACACTTTAGACACCCAAACAACTTTTATCCTAGTGCAGCAGTTTTGGTGTGTAGATCATGCCTTTGTAGTCTTACAGCTCGATTCTCTAGTTAGGAGTTAAATCACTTTGTTTGTACAGCCCTAGCCACATCTCTCTGCATGTGACGTAGACAGCCTTCCTAAACACTTTCTGTAAAGAGAGCTCTAATGTTTAAACTTCCTTTATTGCACATTGTGTTTAATTTAGATTTTCTCCTCTCCTGCTCTGTTATTGGAATTCTAGACCCTGCAGGAGCCTCCTGTGTGTGTGTTTAAAGGACCACTATAGGCACCCAGACCACGTCAACTTAATGAAGTGGTCTGGGTGCCAGGTCCAGCTAGGTTTAACCCTTTTTTTGCTGTAAACATAGCAGTTTCAGAGAAACTACTATGTTTACCTATGGGTTAATCCAGCCTCTAGTGGCTGTCTCATTGACAGCCGCTAGAGGCGCTTCTCACTGTGATTTTCACAGTGAGAAGACTCCAGCATCCATAGAAAAGCATTGAGAATGCTTTCCTATGGACTGGCTGAATGCGAGCGCGGCTCTTGCCGCGCATACACATTCAGCCGATGACGGAAGAAGAGGGAGAAGAGGTAGCCCGGCGATGGGGGGAAAAAAGGTAAGGGATTAACTTCTTCCCCCCCCCCCCCTTCAGCGCCAAGGGAGTGGGACCCTGAGGGTGGGGGCATCCTCAGGGCACTATAGTGCCAGGAAACGAGTATGTTTTCCTGGCACTATAGTGGTCCTTTAAAGTTAATTTTATAGAGGGTTTTTTCTTTTCTTTATAAATAACTTCTAAAGCAAGTTAGCATCTGATTGAAAATGCAAGAAAGAAATGATAACAGACAAAAGCTTAGAGAGACTTAATGGCTTGTCCTTCAGTACATCCCCGCTTAGGTCTCCAAATAGTTTTTGCTTGCTTGTGCCAGAACAGAGAGAACATGTGAAGCATATCAGACTGTTCCCACCCATACAGGCAGTCCAGATCCGAAATGCCAGCTAGTTCCCTCTGCACGAGAGATACAGCAACCCCAGACGATTCTTTTGGGCCTCGTCAGTGAGGTATAGCTGATATCCCTCGAGGCACAGTGAGCACAGGGTTCACATTTGGATTGTCTGATTTGAAAATGAAACCATTTTTTTTTTCATGCATGCTGTGTCAGTCACAGCTAGTGGAGGTGTGGGTAGGGCTGTGTGGACAGAAATACACCTAAATTGCAGAGAATTGAGCAGTGTGACTGCTGTGGCGTAATCTAGAACCAAAAGCTGCTTCGTTAAGCTAAATTTGTTTTGGTTACTATAGTATTTGTTTAATATAAAACTATTTACCCAATATTTTTAACTCAACACATTTCTATCTGGGTTATTCACTAAAGTGAGAATCTAAAGTGAATTTAAAATTTAAAGGGTCACAATAGTCTTTAGGACTACAGCTTAATGTAGTTGTTTGTTTGGTGTCTACGGTCTGTCCCTGCAGGCTTTTTAATGTAAACACTGCCTCTTCAGAGGAAAGGCAATGTTTACAGTACTGCTTAGTAACACCTCTAGTTGCAGTCGCTCAGACAACTAGCAGTGCATCCTATGTCGGTGCTGCACTGACGTTCAGCGTCTCCAAACTCTGCATTGATTCAATGCTTTTTTGAAGAGATGTTGATTGGAGCAGCGTGGCAAACTCACAATAGCCTCTCAGGTTTGATTTCAGCCAAGGGGATGGAGCGAGGGATTCCCTGTAGTGAGGTCGGCCACACCAGGAAATAACTGTCATGTAGTCAAAGCAGGAGTAATGAGCTTGCCTAGTGCCAATTATAACAAAGAAATCTGGGTAAGAACTAACTGGCCGCACACAAGCTACAAGTGCTTGTATGCACAGATTTATTTGTGTGATTGATGGGTTATAGCTGCGTCACATTCCGAAACTTCGGCTTTAAGACTCATGTTAAATTAAAGGACCACTATAGTGCCAGGAAAACAAACTCGTTTTCTTAACTGATATGACTGCCAATCGATGGCGTTATTGGACATACAGGTGATACTCGAAAAATTAGAATATCGCGCAAAAGTTCATTTATTTCAGTAATGCAACGTAAAAGGGGAAACTAATATATGAGGTAGATGCATTACATGCAAAGCAAGATAGTTCAAGCCGTGATTTGTCATAAGTGCAATGATTATGGTTTACAGCTCATGAAAACCCCACATCCACAATCTCAGTAAATTAGATTATTGTGAAAAGGTGCAATATTCTAGGCTCACAGTGTCCCACTCTAATCAGCTAAGTAAGCCATAACACCTGCAAAGGGTTTGTCAGCCTTTAAATGGTCTCTCAGTCTGGTTCAGTAGGAATCACAATCATGGGGAAGACTGCTGACCTGACAATTGTGCAGAAAACCATCACTGACACCCTCCATAAGGAGGGAAAGCCTCAAAAGGTAATTGCGAAGGAAGTTGGATTTTCCCAAAGTGCTGTATCAAAGCACTGTCATGCCGAATCCCGTTTTTTTTTTTTTTTTTAACCCCCCTCCCGCCTCCACTACATCCAATTGACCCACTAGTCACCCACAAATGCCCCTAAGCCCCCCACATTACCTATTTTTTAATCCTTATTTTCTGCCCCGATCTTGATTCAGGGCGCCGCCATCTTTGTGTGGGTAGGTGAAGTCCCTGTGGGACACGTCATCAGCCCACACTAGGCAGACTGTGAGATTCCCGCACATGCCCAGTGAAACACCTGGACATGCGAACGGGAATTTCATCTATTCATTCATTCATCAGACAGACGAATGAGTGAATAGAAATATCAGCAGAACAAACAAACACAATGTATCAGTGTTTGTTTGTTCGTTCAGTTTATTACAAGGAGGGAGCTACCGGCATGCAGCTCCCTCCTTGTAATATGTAACTATTGAAGCGGCAGGGAGCAGTGCTCCCCACCACTTCATAAGCCCCCCAGTACCCCCTCTCACTCTATGGGGGTCAATATGACCCCATAATAGCACAAGGGAGATTAAAATCTCCCAAATGCCCCTACTCGCTATACCGCGAGTAGGGGCATGTCTACTAAACAGTGAGCAGCCCGTGGCTGCTCACTGTTGGAAAAAAAGACATAAATTACAATAAGGGGGGATGGACCTACTGTCCTCCCCCCTGGCCCCCACCCCTGCGCGGTGGGTGGGGGCCCTAATAAAACAATAAGGGGGGGGGACCTACTGTCCTCCCCCCTGGCCCCCACCCCTGAGCGGTGGGTGGGGGCCCTAAATGAAACACCCCCCCCCAATCAAGGTGACTAGGGGTCCCAAGCCCCTAGTCACCACCCCCCCACCCAAAAAAACCTATCCCCTACCTACCCCCCTCACCCTACAAATAGTGAGGGGGGAATAAAATAACTAACCTGTAAAAAAAAAAAAAATTAACTTACCATTTGACGTCTTCTTTTTTCTAAAATCTTCTTTCTTCAGCCCCCAAAAAGGCCAAATAAAAATCAACCCCCCACCCTCAAGTAGGTACACCACCCTTATTGTTTTACTGGAAGCCACCCCAATCAGAGTGCTCTGAGTCATTTTACACAGCGTGGGAAAATTCAAAAGAACTTTCCCACGCTGTGTAAAATGACTCAGAGTCAGTAGGTTCCCCCCCCCATCTTTATTTAGGGCCCCCACGGGCATGGGGGGGGGGTTTATTAGTTTTTTTATTTTTTATTTTTTACAGTGAGCAGCTATAAGCTGCTCACTGCTTACTACACATGCCCCTACTCGCGATATAGCGAGTAGGGGCATATTATTTACTAATACTAAGTAATCTTTACTTAGTATTAGTAAATGTGGCTGAAAGACCAATTTAGGTCTTTCAGCCTTTTAGTAGATAGCTCCCTGATACCGTGGGAATTAGGGAGTTATCTACTAAACGGCTGCAAGATGCAGCCACAGCAGTGAATAGGATCAGAGTTTCATTCATTAGAATGAAATTCCGATCCGAATAAAATGCCGAATTGCGTTCTAAAAGAAACGAACATACTGTTGTCATTCAGTTAGAACGCAATTCGGCAGTTTTGTGTAAAGTGACAGGAAGCATCGTGGGAACACAGAGGGAAGGTAAGGATCATGGGAAAATTGCTCTGGCCAGCGGAAATGAAGCACACTTTGCTCCTCTGCTGGTCAGAGCTGGTCAAGCGGAGGAATCCTCCATAAGGCAAAGAGTCCCTTCTTTGTCTTATGATTTTAAAGAAAACTATAGAAGACAGGAAGAAAAGAAGAACAGATCCTGAGAGAGGGGGGAGAAGAGGAAGAGATTGAGGAAAGGTAAGTTCGGCATGACAGTGCCGCTTTAATAGAAAGTTATGTGGAAGAAAAAGGTACACATCCAGCAGGGATGACCGCAGCCTGTAGAGGATTGTCAGGAAAAGGCCATTCCAAAGTGTTGGGGACTTTCACAAGGAGTGGACTGAGGCTGGAGTCAGTGCATCAAGAGCCACCACACACAGACGGATCCTGGACATGGGCTTCAGATGTCGTATTCCTCTTGTCAAGCCGCACCTGAACAACAAACCCCATCAGAAGCGTCTTACCTGGGCTAAAGAAAAACAGACCTGGTCTGTTGCTCAGTGGTCCAAAGCCCTCTTTTCTGATGAGTGCAACTTTTGCATCTCATTTGGAAACCAAGGACCCAGAGTCTGGAGGAAGACAACGCAGCTGTCTACCAGGAGATTTTGGAGCACTTCATGCTTCCTTCTGCAGACGAGCTTTATGGGGATGCTGACTTCATTTTCCAGCAGGACTTGGCACCTGCCCACACTGCCTAAAGCACCAAAGCCTGGTTCAATGGGATTACTGTGCTTGGTGGGCCAGCAAACTCACCTGACCTGAACCCCATAGAGAATCTATGGGGCATTGCCAAGAGAAAGATGAGAAACATGAGACCCTGCAATGCAGAAGAGCTGAAGGCCACTATTGAAGCATCCTGGTCTTCCATAACACCTCAGCAGTGCCACAGGCTGATAGCTTCCATGCCACGCCGCATTGAGGCAGTAATTGCTGCAAAAGGGGCCGAAACCAAGTACTGAGTCCATATTTATGCTTATACTTTTCAAAGGTCCGATATTGTTCTATGTACACTCCTTGTTTTATTGATTGCGTGAATATTCTAATTTACTGAGATTGTGGATTTGGGGTTTTCATGAGCTGTAAGCCATAATCATCGCACTTATGACAAATCACGGCTTGAACGATCTTGCTTCGCATGTAATGCGTCTTATCTCCTATATTAGTTTCCCCTTTTACGTTGCATTACTGAAATAAATTAACTTTTGCACGATATTCTAATTTTTCAAGTATCACCTGTATACCCCACCCCCAAGGCATCATTCCAACATAGAATTAATCAGGGGAAGCATTATGTGAAATATTAGTTGGTACAGAGTGCCAGAGCAATAGTGCCTTTAGGCTGCTGTTCGGTAATAAGTCCAACTTTCATTTTTATACGTATTGAATTGAATTTGCCATTTATTTGTGTACATCGGTAGTTTTCACAGTATGGTTTCGGTGCCCACTAGTCTGCTCAGACCTTTAATACAAATAATACGGTGCAGTTTACCCATAGAAACCTATAGGAGAAATCTCACTAAGTCCTCTATGAAGTGGGAGTCCAGCAGGGGGAGCTATGGTACAAGTGTAGCTGCACAAGCTGATTGTTTTTTAAAATGTATTTTTGTGTCCCTAAAGAGGAGTTTGTTTCCGTTTTCTTAAGGGACTGGAGATTAGATAGTCCAGTGGGGTTGGATGTGAACCCCAATAATAACATGCATTCCCATGAGAAGTTTTATTAATAATTGATAAAGCAGAAGGGCCGGGATTTGTTGTTGGTGACCGTATCTGGGTTGGACTCCATTACAGAGAGCTTCCTATCAGAGCAAGATTTTAGATGTAAGGCTAAAGTCTATAAAAAGCCGGTGCCAAGGACTGGCGTAGGTGGTGAGGGATATAAAGAGCAGGTGGTGAGGAAATCGGAGGTTCCTGCTTTGATATACCCTTTAAATCCTATGACCAAATGTATATTTAACCCGAGACCCACTTCTGTGGTGATTTCTGGGAAACCAATGGAATGCATGAGTGAGCTTGGCAGAGGCCCAGACTCCTATTAGTGGCTTCTGATTAAGCAGTCAGCCTTTTACCCTGTAAGAACCAGGACAGACATTGCTGGCATCGTGTCTTAAGGGCTAGATTAAGGAAACGGAAAGCTCTAATGTTTGGTCCTTTAAAAGGTTAACAAGCGCACCTACGGATTTTATTTGCTAAATACCAGTTTGTTGTGAACTGAAAAATGTATTGCACTAAATTTGCAGTTGTAGCACAAACGTTGTAATTTATGTTTTGTGTGTAATGTGTTTGTAATGAATAAATCCCTGTGACACTTTGCCTTTCCCACTCAGACCGCAGATTCCAACGGCGTTTGATTTTGACGACGAACCATCCACTCCAAAGAATTCGCTAATTGACCGTCGAAGGACACCCGGTACGTGTTTGAGTGACATTCAAATATTCTACTTTCTTGCTTACTGTAAGATTTTATTTATAGGTTTTGTTTTGAATAATTGACTCCGTCCCTAAGGGGTTAAGGAAACAATCCTTCCTTTGGAGTGTCTCTTGATTAGTTTTAATTTTACTAGCAGCCATTGAGTTTTCCAGAACTCCTCTGCATGTTGGAGTACTCCGTATATTCCGGACCTTCTTGCAGGGGATTGTTGGATGTGATGTTTTTCGGGAATCAATCATTGGATTGCTGGCTGCACATAGCAAGTTACTCTCATAGTGCGACTGGTGAAAGGGTGAGTGTCAGCAGACTAAGCTTGTCACTGGCACTCAAGGCAACAATTTCTGTACTGTACGACATGTGAGCAGAGGGGAGGCCGTGCAGATGGTGTCCATGGAAAACCGTTTAACACCTTATGGTAAGATGGCAGCCAGGGTCTTTGGCTTCCAAGGCAAGGTTGATGTGATGGAGTATCCCTTTAAGTTATCTGGTAGTTTAATTTTCATGCTATCATTGTGAAAGACATTGACTCTCTTTCTCTAGGGTCAGTTGGCAATTTCATTTTTACTTTAAAATGTAACCTTTCCTTTAGATGTGAAAGCTTTAGTAAAGTTTGCCAACCATAGTACACTTTATATCACATATTAGGAATGTGGTAACTTGCAGATTTTAAAGCGATACTTGAGGCAGGAAAACAACTCTAGCTTGATGTATAGATCCTGCCCCTGAAGTCTCATTGCTCAGTTTTCTGCCATTTAAGAGTTTAATCAGTTTGTTAATGCAGCCCTAATCACACCTCCCACAGTCTCCATACACATTTCCTGTAAAATGTCTTCTAATGTTTAAACTTCCTTTATGGCACAGTCTGTTTAATTTAGAATTTCACATTTCCTGCTATGTCAATAGCCTACTAGTTCATGCAGGAGCCTCCTGTGTGTAATTAAAGTTTAATTAAGCAGGGGACAAATATTCTAAAGAAGACAGTCAAGTCACATCTGATTAAAAATGAAACCATTTTTTCATGCAGGCTGTGTGAGTCAGTCAGGGTAGGTGTGGATAGGGCTTCATAAACAGAAACAAAGTGATTTAACTCTAAAATAGCATAAAATTAAGCAGTGTGACTCCAGGGGCACGATCTGTAAATCCAAACTGTATCCTCAGGCTAGCGTATTTTTTTTATTTATTTTTTGTGACGTTTACTATAGTTTACCCTCTTCCTTCTTATTTTTTTGTGGATGTTTGTAAAAGTCTAAATTTCATTTTTGGCCAAGCTACCATAAATGGGGAAAATACCACAGTTGAAAAGTGACCGTCCGTTCTCCAAAATTCCTTGTTTAGTGAGAAATCCTCAGTAGTCACTCTATATTTCATGCTGGCCTACAGCCTTTAAGGTCCAGGTTGTTAGGATTAAATTGCACATTATTGGTCCAAAGGTTAAGAGATGATGGTGTGTAACATGCTGTGCTCGTTTTGTCAGGGAGCTCCGGTCGCAGCCAGAAGAGAGAGGCCCGGCTAGACAAGGTCCTTTCTGACATGAAGCGGCACAAGAAGCTGGAGGAACAAATCCTGAAAACTGGCCGTGACCTCTTTGACATGGACCCTGACTCTGTGCCCACCCCAAAACGCTCCACTGCCATCTTTCCCCGTCAGCGGAAATACTGAGTCTGCATGAAGAACTCTGCTGTGCTGGACTTTCCTGTTTGGAAAGCCGGTAACCAAAATGGTAAAGTAAACGTGGAAGTGATTGGTTCCACAAATAAGGTGTTTACTAGATTCTGTTCCTTCTGTCTTGGTTCTTCCATGTTACGAAATATATTGTTGATCACCGTGCCAGGAAACCAGCTTCCAACCCGAAAGACGTCGTACTGCATGTGAGAAGTGGATACAAGTTGGGAACATGTTTCTTATCGTGACATTGCTGGATCCAATTCCTCTGTGTGCTTGAAAGACCAATTTAAATAATCTGAATGGGGGCTTCTATTCCATCCAGCCTGTGTGTGAAAAGGCCGTGCGGTCTGACGCTCAGTAGGGCGGAAATGGCGACACTTTTACTGGTGCTACTGGCTACAGTAAAGGGCGAGTGCATAAACGCTACGTATTGATTGGCTGTGTGCCTTGTCACTCATTTACATCTGATGAATAACTTCCTCCGGATGTGTGTAATTTGCTAATGCCAGTAATCTGGCAAAATGACTACGGTCCATCCAAACATCGTGACCGTGAGGTCTTCGTAAATGTGTATTTACTGTGCATTGTCTGTCGAGACAAATGAATGGATTTCTTTGATTGCGGCAGAGATGTATTTCATCTTGTGTATTTAAATGCCATCTAACATCACAGCGTGGCAGCTTACAGGAGGTCTGTGCAGTATTTCTGGACTCTGTGGCAGAACAAACCTTTCATTCTAAAATATACCTACAGAATCCTCACCTGCCACGGAAATTTAATCAAATGCTGCCATTTTTTTTCAGCTGCCTCTTTTTGCCATGCATCATGTCTTGTGCATAAATGGATTAAATGTGATTTTTGTTATAAAATAAAGTTGTGAACAAATTAAATCCTTTAAGAGCTTGTTGCAGTCAAAGCGTAGCTCTCAAGTGATCGGATATATTATGTGAATACATCATTACAGTCTTCGTTAAAGGAAAATGAAGTGTTTTGTAATGCATGTATATAAATGTTATTTTCTTCTCCCAATCCCCTGGCTTACCTTTGTTCTATGTAGGCTGAAATCTTTATGTGCTCTTTGGCAATCAAGAGCTGGGACATGAATACTGACCTCACATGCTAGACCACACTGAGCCACATGGTTTTTGATCAAACGTGTGGTTCTCGTAACCAAAGTAACATCTGGTGAAATATGGCCGCCCTGACAGAGCAAGGGTTAGCCATAAGGTGCATTGGGAAATAAGTTATTGCATGTCTCTGTTTATTCAGGTATGAGAAAAAACTGTGTTTTAAAGCAAAGAATTGTGCTTCCATTGCCATGTGATATTGTCTTTCTATTCAATACCAATCGATGGTATATTTCCTATGAAAAGGAACTTGACGTAAAATAAAACAAACGTGTGTTAATACTGCAAGTATACAGTGATGTGAGCTGACCCAGGTAGCTTACTCTATGGATCAGACCTAGATGATCAGACTCCTCAGATATCAGTTTATTGGGGGGGGGGGGGAGAACTACTGCACAAGGGTTTTGCAAGATGCTGAGCATTCTTATGCAAGACTGAGATGTCCAACAAAGTTTTAACAGAGTTAAACTCTGTGAAACTGCAGTGCTATCTGATAGACAACCACTTGGCGCAGTCTTAATCCTGAAATATAAACATTGTATTAACGGCAATGACCGGTATACCCAGAGAACAGGAGATGAAGGGATCTGGGTGCCTGTAGTGTCCCTTTTAGTATCTGTTTATATCAGAACCAGACATACAATTAGCAGGAATAATGGTAAAAAAAAAATGAGGGAGAGGTATAGCCCCTAAGAATATTTCCCTGAGTGTGCCTTCAAGGGCTCCTATACTAGAACCATCGAGATGTAGAGTCTAGTATAGGGCCCCTGAAGGCACACTCAAAAAATATTCTTAGGGGCCCTCCTCCCCTCATTTTTTTTCTACCATTATTCCTGCTAATTGTATTTCTCAACACTTATCCCTTCAGGATTAGGAGACTGCTTAGAGTCATGTCTACAAATGCTCGCAGTTTAGGGAATAAGATCCATGAACTTGTGGCAATAATGGCAACTGATAGTGTAGATTTAGTCGCTGTTACTGAGACATGGTGCAATGAGAAAAATGACTGGGACATAGCAATACCAGGGTACTCTTTATATAGGAAAGATAGGGAAGGCAAGAAAGGGGGAGGGGTGGCCTTGTATGTGAAGGATAGCATAACATCTAGCCTAATAAAAGTTAGTGAGGCAAACATAGAGACCGTTTGGGCTACGTTAGAATTTGGTAATCACACAGTAACTCGTGTAGGTGTGATTTATAGGCCCCCAGGACAAAATGAAGAGTTAGATAATCTACTAGTTGAGGAAATAGCTAAAATGACAATGAAGGGGAAGTTATCATCATGGGTGACTTTAATCTTCCTGATGTAAATTGGAAAACAAAATTAGCTACTTGTGCCAGGAGCACACATATTCTAAACTCCCTACTGGGATTGTCTCTAAAACAAGTTGTTGAGGAGCCAACTCGTAAAGAGGCCATACTAGATTTAGTGTTAACAAATGGAGATTTAGTATCAGATGTTACTGTAGGTGAAAGTTTAGGATCCAGTGATCATCAGTCAGTGTGGTTTAATATAAGAACAGTGACTGAGTCACACCACACAAAAACAAAAGTTTTAGACTTTAGAAAAACAGACTTTTCTAAAAATTAGAATATGGGTAGAGGAGTCATTATCAGACTGGAGCAATTTAAATGGAGTCCAAGAAAAATGGGATTATTTAAAAGTTGCACTATTGAAGGCAACAGAAAATTGCATTAGGCTTGTCAGTAAAAGCAAAAATTCAAGAAACCACTGTGGTACTCCGCAGATGTGGCCAAAATAGTTAAAAACAAAAAGTTAGCATTTAGGAATTATAAAAAAAACCAGAGTGAGGAAGACAAAATGATCTATAAGATTAGGCAGAAAGAGGCTAAGCAAGTTATAAGAGCTTCCAAATCACACACAGAAGAGAAAATAGCACAGTCAGTAAAAAAAGGGGGATAAAACATTTTTAGATACATAAATGAGAAAAGAAAAGTAAAACAAGGATTAGTTAGATTAAAAACAAAAGAAGGAAGTTATGTAGAAGAGGATAAAGGTCTAGCTGACTGCCTCAATTAATATTTTTGTTCTGTATTTACAGATGAAAATGAAGGAAAGTGACCTCAGTTGAGAAAAAGGATAAATGAGTCATTTATTACACGTGAGTTTACAGAGGAAGAGGTTCTATTTCAACTGTCAAAAGTAAAGACAAATAAGTCAATGGGACCTGATGGAATACACCCAAAGCTATTAAAATAGCTTAGTGGTGTACTAGCAAAACCATTAATAGATTTATTCAACCAATCATTGTTAAAAGGAGTAGTCCCATAAGACTGGAAGTTAGCAAATGTTGTGCCCATTTACAAGAAAGGTATTAGGGAGGAGTCGGGCAACTATAGGCCAGTAAGCCTTACTTCAGTAGTGGGGAAAGTGATGGAAACCATGTTAAATGATAGGATTGATGAACATCTAAAAACACATGGATTTCAAGATCAGAGACAACATGGGTTTACTTCAGGGAGATCATGCCAAACTAATCTTATTGATTTTTTTGATTGGGTAACTAAAATTATAGATCAGGGTGGTGCAGTAGACATTGCTACCTAGATTTCAGTAAGGCTTTTGACACTGTTGCACATAGAAGGCTTATCAATAAACTGCAATCTTTAAGTTTGGATTCAAATATTGTTGAATGGGTAAGGCAGAGGCTGAGTGACAGGCAACAGAGGGTTGTAGTTAATGGAATATATTCGAAGCTTGGACTTGTCACCAGTGGGGTACCTCAGGGATCTGTACTTGGACCCATTCTCTTTAATATTTTATTAGTGATATTGCAGAAGGTCTTGATGGTAAGGTATGTCTTTTGCTGATGATACTAAGATATGTAACAGGGTTGATGTTCCAGGAGGGATAAGCCAAATGACAAATGATTTAGGTAAACTAGAAAAATGGTCAGAATTGTGGCAACTGACATTTAATGTGGATAAGTGCAAGATAATGCATCTTGGACGTAAAAACTCAAGGGCAGAGTACAGAATATTTGATAGAGTCCTAACCTCAACATCTGAGGAAAGGGATTTAGGGGTGATTATTTCGGATGACTTAAAGGTAGGCAGACAATGTAATAGAGCAGCAGGAAATGCTAGCAGAATGCTTGGTTGTATAGGGAGAGGTATTAGCAGTAGAAAGAGGGAAGTGCTCATACCATTATACAGAACACTGGTGAGACCTCACTTGGAGTATTGTACACAGTATTGGAGACCGTATCTTCAGAAGGATATTGATACCTTAGAGAGGGTTCAGAGAAGGGCTACTAAACTGGTTCATGGATTGCGGGATAAAACTTACCAGGAAAGGTTAAAGGATCTTAACATGTATAGCTTGGAGGAAAGACGAGACAGGGGGGATATGATAGAAACATTTAAATATATAAAAGGAATCAACACAGTAAAGGAGGAGACTATATTTAAAAGAAGAAAACTACCACAACAAGAGGACATAGTCTTAAATTAGAGGGACAAAGGTTTAAAAATAATATCAGGAAGTATTACTTTACTGAGAGGGTAGTGGATGCATGGAATAGCCTTCCAGCTGAAGTGGTAGAGGTTAACACAGTAAAGAAGTTTAAGCATGCATGGGATATGCATAAGGCTATCCTAACTATAAGATAAGGCTAGGGACTAATGAAAGTTTTTAGAAAATTGGGCAGACTAGATGGGCCGAATGGTTCTTATCTGCCGTCACATTCTATGTTTCTATGTTTCTATGATGTAGAGGATAAAAAAAATTCCCTGCTTCGATAAAGGAAGAAATTACAGGTTTAAATATAGAAGTATGGCACAGTATGGCAATCACTCTTCCTGACCGATGAAACGATTATTGGACCTCTATTCTTCTAACGGTTCTGTCACTGTGCCGACAAGGCTGTCTTCAAAGCACATGGAGTGACTTCAGTACGAGAAACCCATCCAGTATAACTAACTGTAACCTAACCTACACAGTGCACCGAACATGTGGGAGCCTGGACTGTCCCTTTACTTTCACTGAGCCACTAGAGGTGCTTCCTCCTAAATACCGGGGTAGAACTCTTTCAATCATGCTCTCGTAGAGACCATCTGCTTGGGGCAGCAAGGTGCTCTGCTGTGCATGTGCACAAGCCCCTTCATTCCTTACTAGAGGGAAGCATTGGATTGGCTGAGATTGATTTAAATAATCTCTGCCAGGGAGGCGGAACAGCAGTGCAGAGACGAGAGCTGCGATGTCTCTGCACATTTTCTCCCACAGGAGGGGGCTAGAGACACAGACATTCACCAATACAATACAACTTTGTATTACTAATGCTATAGTGTTCCTTCAAATCCTAGTGGCCATGTGTGCTGTCTGTATTCTATATTTTGCACTGGGATATATTACTCTGCATTTAACCAGATTAGGTTTTGAAGTCTATTTGCAGATAGGGCTGGGTTATAATCCTTTACTTAAAGTTTTAACATGGGTAAAAGGTTAGCTGCTAACACAAAAACCGACTTAATTAACCCTACAAACAAATGTTTCCTATTGCAATAAGTATGACTCACTCTCTTCCACTGCTCGTGTAAATATTTCTTCATAATCTAAAACGACTCTCAAACGAGTTCAGACATTTATTTCCGATTACAATGTCTTAGTTTATACAAAACCTGATATAATACGTGTAGCAGATAATATTCACAAGATAAAGAAAAATGTAATCTCAGCACAGTTATTTGTTGGATTTTTACAGATTGCAGGGAATAAGGCATCTAGCGTATTATGACACAAACACGATTTGTTAAATAAATAGAATGTTGAAATAAAATCCAAACTAAAAAACAGACGCCAAAATGACTGACGGGTAAAAGAATGCCCAACTCCGCGTCTAAGGTAATGTTTACCATTTGGTTTTTGATTCAGTACAATCTTGTATTTAGTTTAGATCCCCGCGGTAAATCCACTAAACTATGAATTGTCAGGAATTTCCATTTTGTAACAGCAAAACTTTTTTTTTTTTGGCCCCTCTTTGCCTGCTTTGGTCGAAGATCCTAGTTTATTGAATAACCCTGCCAGATGATGATCCTCACTAAATCTTATTTACATTTATAAATGAACTCTTGCTTAATGGAGTTTGTTTAATCTGGTAGTTGAAGGGCCACATGGACAGGCTTTGTTTAAAGGGCTAGAATGAGCTTATGAACTTTCAATATTCTGTAAAATGTCTCTCAAACCCTCTTGCCCAATTCGACTGTAAAAATGACAGGGATGTGACCTCTCTCTGCCCTGATACACTGCGCTGGATGTATGTATGTATATTGTGAATCCTATCGCTGGCATTAATGGATTTGCAGTCTTCACCAGGATATTTTCTGCACAGGAAAGGCTTAGATTGGAAGTGTTAATCCTGATTGCATGCTGGGCTGAGCAGACGGTGGAGAGAAATATGGCGATTATTCAGAGAAGGACCAACTGAGAGATTTGGATCCCCGGTGAGTGTTTGGCTCAAGCGTAAATCGCCGGCCTTTTCTCGTGCTGTGTTTCTCTTTAATGTTTTTTGTTATTTGCTACCTGTATCATACATCATATAAATATTTAAGATTAATTATGATAAATGACTGCATTGCTGTACTCTAAACTCTCCAAAATCCTGCGTTTATGCAAGAAGTGAAGGGGAACAAACTGACCCTGGCCACGCACCAAACTATTGATCTGTTATACAAACTGGACAAAGTGTGACATAATGGTTTTATTTTACAAGGCAGTAGGACATACTTTATTAATAATGCTTAGCCAGAATTAGGTCTTCAAAGTATGAATGGAAATGTTAATGTAGAAAGAGACATTTTGCTATATAGTCCTAAATAGATGTTTTATTGGATCTCATCGGGGGTGTCTTTAGTGGTGCAAAAGATTAAGCCGACCCGCCCAAAACACTGCTCCCAGACTCCCAGCCAGCCCCGGCCAAAACACTGCTCCCAGACTCCCAACCAGCCCCGGCCAAAACACTGCTCCCAGACTCCCAGCCAGCCCCGGCCAAAACACTGCTCCCAGACTCCCAGCCAGCCCCGGCCAAAACACTGCTCCCAGGCTCCCAGCCAGCCCCGGCCAAAACACTGCTCCCAGACTCACAGCCTCGGCCAAAACATTGCTCCCAGACTCACAGCCAGCCCCGGCCAAAACAGTGCTCCCAGACCCCCTGCCAGCCCCGGCCAAAACTCTGCTCCCAGACCCCCAGCCAGCCGCGGCCAAAACACTGGTCCCAGACTCCCAGCCAGCCACAGCCAATATCACTGCTCTCGGACTGATAGCCAGTCACAAATAAACTAATTGACAAGCAAAGTTTCTCTGTTGAATGCTAAGACATATCTGGTACTTGAGATGAACACAAATTGATAGCATGTGGTGGAGAATGTGTAAAATTTTAAGCAAAAATGTCGATCCATTTTGATACGTGTCCGATTACCCACAGTGCACCATGTCTCACTGTGTAGCGCTGCGGAATCTGTTGGCACCTTTTTAAAAATAATGATATCTCAGGACATCCCGGAGTGCCATTTAAAACCTGTTGGACAGGAAAGTCCTAGAACAGATCTTACTGCCTTTAGGCTAGACATTTTCTGTATACCAGGTAAATGCTGTGAAAGCTGAAAGAAATGGGAGTTCCAAAGACCATTGACGTAACTAATTAACCAGTTCTGTAGATATAACCATGCTCTCTGCTATCTTGCTGCTGCCAATAGGTTTATTACCCTGTTTATAACTTCCCTGTGATTATGTTGTGTGGGTGCAGATAGGATTACACAGAACATGACATAAGATTGTCAGCGTCTGGTCATGGTCATAACGTACCTGTTTCTACCCTGCACCATCCCCAGTGGGATACATACCACTATACTCAATAAATCGAACCAGCTTGTCTCCTTACTGCTAAAGGGATACTCCAACCATCATAATCCCTAAAACCTGCTGTAGTGGTTATAAGGCTGAGTGCCGGTAAAGGGGTAATTTATTCTTCAATAGTTTTTCTCTTTCACCTGGTCCCGCTAAGCTCTTAACCTCTCCGGTAAGGGCGGCTGAACCGCATCCTGACTCTTATTGGTTGACTGAGTGCACTCTGCCATTGGAAGACCTTCTATGCACAGAAATGACATTGCCCAGCTTGGAACGCCTCGTTCTGCTCTGGCTAATATTGCTGCCGGAAGGGGAGTTACACCTTCAACTGCTAGACTAAACAGCTATGTACTGACCTCTGGCACCATGACCACTTCAATTCACTGAAGTGGTTATGGTGTTTGGAGTATCCCTTTACGATACTTGTATCATTGCAGCTAACTAATCTGGTTACCACTAATAAGCCTGTCCAATTAAACTAGGACCAAGTTAATTTATTAAATTCAAATCATTAACTACAGTACCCTAACTGGTCACATTGTTACAAATGTTTCACATTAAGTCAAGTTAGTTACCTACGTTATCACTCAGATTATCAGATTAAACTAAAATAATTTGTAATTATAAGGCTAACTGGCCAGTTAGATTACTAGCCATAAATTATGAATCCACACAGCTACATCCAGGTATATTTACCGTGTCACTACATGAGCGAGGCTGTCAGAACTGTGCAATAAATACACTGAATACTTGTTTATAGCTTGTATTTAATGGGTTTTACTCTCAATAACGAACAAAGCTGTTTCTAAATGGCTGTTTTAGGGGACTTTTTTGTTTAATATTTAAGACTTTCATATTAAGATATCAAATCCCAAAATCTAGTTATTCTTGGGCAATTCCACCATATATGTAGCATTGTACCTTCGTGAGCTAGACATCTCCAACATAACTGGGAGTTGGTTGGGGATATTTTGACCAATCTGGTTGGAACTAGGTCCCATCTTTGTAAGACTTTAAAATGAGTCTCAATAATATTAAAGGACCACTATAGTGCCAGGAAAACATACTCGTTTTCCTGGCACTATAGTGCCCTGAGGGTGCCCCCACCCTCAGGAACCCCCTCCCGCCCGGCTCTGGGGAAAGGAAAGGGGTAAAACTTACCTTTTTCCAGCGCTGGGCAGGGAGCTCTCCTCCGATCCTCCTCTTCTCCTCCCCGTCGGCTGAATGCGCACTCATTCATTTTGAGTTTAAGACAATATCTTCTATAAGGATTTCTTTATAAGTTCTCTAAGAACAAAGGTCCACATCCGGCATTCCTCTTTCTAGACCTCGCAAGTTGGCTCCTTCAAATGTTTTATTAGATATATCGTAATATATATATTTTTTATTTTTATTAATTGCCATTCTTCTAAAAAAAGATTTAAAACCCTTGAGTTAAAATCCCTTGGTTGATGGTCTACATTGCAGAGGTCATCCCATATCAAAAGGGGTTACATGAGTAAAGAGTATATGACAGCTATGCATACAGTTTCTGCCCTATTGACAGGTACTTGTTATTTAGATTAGGCATAGAAATTTAAACAGGACTACCCTGTCACTCGTACAGTGTAGCTAGGTTCAGGCATAGGCAATCATTAGAGGATTAGAAGTATAAACCTGCTAAGCAATACTAGTGGGTTTAGTAGTGTTATTACCACTGGGTGCCCCTGGTGTTAGAAGGTATTTAGAGGCTACAGCTGGCCTATCCCTGCAATAATGAAGTGATGAAAATGGAGGATTAATCGCCACGTAAAAGAAACGGGCTGATCACCTCCCAGCCACCCCACAATAACGTCTCAAAAATAACAAACAATTTAATTGGAAAAACCTTATTAAAATCACAACAAAAAGACCACACCTATCAATAGATAAATAGCTAGAGCCTGGTGATTACAGAATGTGGCTAATATGCATGTAATAGTGTAACAAACTCTTGTTAATAGAGTATTAAATAGTAACACATGTATAGGACCACAGACCGCACACTTTAAGCCCAATGCAAGATAGATGATAGGGTAGACTCTTGTGCAGTAAAATAATATAAGTATAAGAAATCCAGAAGTCCTGCACTTAGGACCTAATAGCTGCAGAGTATAACTAGATTGGCCATGTGTGAATGTAGCAAACTCATAATATAGTAGAGTAATAGGTAACACTATATGTCACAGTAGAAGCCATAAATTCTGTTGCTATATCTACAGATAGAAAATAGAGCAAAGAGACCTAGTTATAGATCTAAATAGAAAAATCTATTTTTCTATTTAGATCTATAACTAGGTCTCTTTGCTCTATTTTTTCCTCTCTTGTTTATGCCCTCCTCTATCCTTTCGATTTCCATTTTTTCAGTATAACCCTGTAGATATAGCAACAGAATTTATGGCTTCTACTGTGACATATAGTGTTACCTATTACTCTACTATATTATGAGTTTGCTACATTCACACATGGCCAATCTAGTTATACTCTGCAGCTATTAGGTCCTAAGTGCAGGACTTCTGGATTTCTTATACTTATATTATTTTACTGCACAAGAGTCTACCCTATCATCTATCTTGCATTGGGCTTAAAGTGTGCGGTCTGTGGTCCTATACATGTGTTACTATTTAATACTCTATTAACAAGAGTTTGTTACACTATTACATGCATATTAGCCACATTCTGTAATCACCAGGCTCTAGCTATTTATCTATTGATAGGTGTGGTCTTTTTGTTGTGATTTTAATAAGGTTTTTCCAATTAAATTGTTTGTTATTTTTGAGACGTTATTGTGGGGTGGCTGGGAGGTGATCAGCCCGTTTCTTTTACGTGGCGATTAATCCTCCATTTTCTTCTCTTTTTGTGTCCACTATAGGGTTATGCCCTTTTGCCACCTCACTCACCCCTCTCTTGGTACTCCTAGTTGGGTTGCCTAACTAGGAAGTACTATTTATTCAAATAATGAAGTGATATTAGAGTCCATGACTCCAGGGAAGAGTTGGCCTGTGCTGAGATGTACTCCTCTGACGCCTGAAGATGAAGCTTCAAGGACACCTGTGTGCAGTGTTCTCCTGGGCTGCGGTGGGGGACAGCTGCTATTTCACTTTGCCTCTTCAGGGTGTACGTCCTTGCCGACCGCAGTCACGGAGTCTCCGGAGTTCCACGCTGTAGAATATTGCATATTCTATGTTTCTATTGATTATATATGGATGTCTGGATTGGCATAAGTAACAGATGGTATGAATAAGTCACAATGTTTTTTTTTTTTTATATGAGACATCTGGAATGGGGGTCTTGTCCTTACATGGCTAGAGTTACACTCTGACGTCAGTATGGGCACATCTATATAGTTAACTGAACAAAGGGACACAAAGTGTCTTGGCTCTCTTTCTCGATACAACGATGTAACTCTCCCTTCAGAAATCCAGCAATTACCATCTGCTGTTGAACATCCATTATCCTGTAACATCCTTTTGTTGTTTTTATTATGTATCAGTAACTAAGAATAAACCTGAAGAAACCGTAAATCAGATAGCGTATTAGTACATTTCATTAATATATATATATTAAAGTTGCGAGCCTTTGACCCAAGACATTTTATATATGTATATATAGATCAATCAACTGAAGAATTAAGATTTTACACACTCCTCCCGCTGCAGATCTTTCCGAGCTGACTCTCTCCTTTGGCGTGTTCCACTCGCCTATGGGTCACCTTTACTGGGTTGCCGCGCAGATGCGGGGCTGGAAGGTAGGTCCACCACGAGGCCTTGTCGGCTTCGGCCTTCTGTAGCTCCGCTTCACTGATGGAGTTGCCCGCGGGGTAGGCCATGGAGAAGCCACCCAGTCCCGGGTTACACGGACCTCAATGCGAGACCCAGAGATTCGAACCAGAACATCAGCTTAGTGTTCTACAAGAGTACAAGCGTTCGTTCTGCCAGATGCTGTAGGATTTAGCAGGGTAAACAGTGCTTTTTCAGGCTTAGGCTGAGAAGTTCCAGCCATGTGCGCCTTGCTCGGTTGGCTGTCAAGCCCCGCCCCCCTCCTGCATTTTAATTATTTTTAGAAACTTTTAATTGAATTTTATTCTGCTCATATTAATTTTGTTACTATGTTATTTTGATATTCTATATCCATTATATTTAATATTAAAATTTATATTATGTACAGATTTTACACAACATTTTTTTTCCTGCAATTTGGATCACAAATAAAGTGTGAAAATATAACCAAATGAGAGAAAAAGGTAGAGGAGGGGTAGGAAAAAAACATTTATTAAATATATAAAAAATTGTTTGGTTCCGATTTAAGAGAATAACCAATCGAACTAGCTCGTCCATTGTTCATTTCTTCTGGTTAGTGATTCTGGTACATTTCAGCTCAGAGATTTGGATGATCAGCCAATTATCCCAATTCCGCATCAACTGGGGTTCAGAACAAAAAAAGAAGAAATGTTTTTACTCAACTCCCTAGAAACTACAATCGCACTGAAGCTAAAGGATCTTACATTATCATTCAAAGCTGATGTGCTTTTGATTGACTTTAGTTCTTTCCTATAGAGTATTCGTTTACAGCTCTCTGTGCTGGATAAAGGGTTAAATGCTAACGAGAGGCCAGTGGCAGGTGCCGGATGCATTATGTGATACTAATGACGACATGCAAAGCATTACATACAACACGCATGCCTGCATTTCCATGTTATACAAACACACAAATCCACCTCCACACACTGTGGAAAAGCCTGCAGAGCATCACAGAGTGACTGCAGAGCATTGCACGATGTAATGTTAACGATCAGTACACCATTCAGAGAAAACCCATCTGCAGAACATTGCACCACAGGAGGCCCAACTGCAGAACATTGCACCAACATTGCTCAAGAGAAGGCGCAACTGCAGAGAATTTGCGCTGCATTCACCCTGTAATTGCTAATCATGCTTAATTTCACTGACAGATCGTCATTCACCACATGACAGCACACCGAACATTTATAACAAATACTGACGGATTCATGGCTACGCCTTTCTGGAGATCCTTTATCACCCCACCCTTGCTGGAGGCATTATATATCTATCTACAGATACTTGGATAACATGCTGCTGGTCATTACGTAAAAACAGCTGTACGGTTATGGTGTAAGGAGGTCCCCTGTCTCCCCGCACACAGTGTATTATAACTGCAGCTATAAGGTTATGGTGCAAGGAGGTCCCCTGTCTCCCAGCACACAGTGTATTATAACTGCAGCTATAAGGTTATGGTGTAAGGAGGTCCCCGGTCTCCCCGCACACAGTGTATTATAACTGCAGCTATAAGGTTATGGTATAAGGAGATCCCCTGTCTCCCCGCACACAGTGTATTATAACTGCAGCTATAAGGTTATGGTGTAAGGAGGTCCCCTGTCTCCCTGCACACAGTGTAATATAACTGCAGCTATAAGGTTATGGTGTAAGGAGGTCCCCTGTCTCCCTGCACACAGTGTAATATAACTGCAGCTATAAGGTTATGGTGTAAGGAGGTCCCCTGTCTCCCTGCACACAGTGTATTATAACTGCAGCTATAAGGTTATGGTGTAAGGAGGTCCCCTGTCTCCCCGCACACAGTGTATTATAACTGCAGCTATAAGGTTATGATGTAAGGAGGTCCCCTGTCTCCCCGCACACAGTGTATTATAACTGCAGCTATAAGGTTATGGTGTAAGGAGGTCCCCTGTCTCCCCGCACACAGTGTATTATAACTGCAGCTATAAGGTTATGATGTAAGGAGGTCCCCTGTCTCCCTGCACACAGTGTATTATAACTGCAGCTATAAGGTTATGGTGTAAGGAGGTCCCCTGTCTCCCCGCACACAGTGTATTATAACTGCAGCTATAAGGTTATGGTGTAAGGAGGTCCCCTGTCTCCCCGCACACAGTGTATTATAACTGCAGCTATAAGGTTATGGTGTAAGGATGTCCCCTGTCTCCCTGCACACAGTGTATTATAACTGCAGCTATAAGGTTATGGTGTAAGGAGGTCCCCTGTCTCCCTGCACACAACCTGAATATCTGCCCTGTACACAACTGCAGAATATGTGATACTCCTAGATGGGTACATATAAGGTACGTGCTTAGATACAGATGAACTAGAGACAGAAAAGTAAACACAGTAAGCCAAGGTATAACACTTCTTGTAACCACCCTCCTGACCACCGGAATTATTTAAGACATAAATCCTAACAAGCATATACGTGCCACAAACCTACTGCTGCCAATTCCCCCCTACCATCCAGACCATTAGTACCAGTAGCGTTGTTATGACATATCTTCATATATCTTGTGACAATGCCCAGAAACCTTGAATATAATTTATGCCACAAGCCAGGGGTCAGTCAGACATCTTAAACCTAATACAGAAAAAGTGCTGACAACCTGCAACCAGAAAAATCACCAGCTATAATGATCCAGCCACCGGAGGTTGCCCTAGCACGTATAAAATATCTTATCTAATATAGGACAGTGTTTCGGCAACCGAACGGCAATAAGAAAGCCAGGACACGTGAAGACTGCCCCAACCGAATGAACCCTGTTCCCCATTGTTATACTGAATTTGTATGCCGTACCGGAACGTTTCGTCAGACCCCTATTACCCGAATTAGCCTTGTAAAAGCCAGCATTCGCCTAAAATGTGACCTGAAATGCGCTACAATGCGGGTGCCCGTCGACCCCTGATGACGTAATCGGCCGTGCCGCAATTGCGACGGCCGTAGAACTTATGATTTTGCGACAGGATGCCGACACGAGAAGCCACGCAAAACCACTTGTCTGATTCCAAAGTTAGACAGCCGAAACCGGAGGAACAGGAACTGTTGGGACCTGGGAAGCTGCCCACGAGATGCAGGTAAGTAAAATGGAGTTTGGATCGACCGGAAGTGACGATCACTTTCCACAACTCACCAGACCTAAGACGGTAGTGAGGGAAGGGCTGGTGCTCCTTAAGAAGGGGCACCCAGCCCCTCCCACAACTTCAGGCCCCGCCTTCCATATATATATATAATATATACACACAGTATCTCACAAAAGTGAGTACACCCCTCACATTTTTGTAAATATTTTATATTTTTTCACGTGACAACACTGAAGAAATGACACTGCTACAATGTAAAGTAGTAAGTGCACAGCCTGTATAACAGAGTAAATGTGCTGTCCCCTCAAAATAACTCAACACACAGCCATTAATGTCTAAACCACTGGCAACAAAACTGAGTACATTCCTTAGTGGAAATGTCCAAACTGGGCCCAATTAGCCATTTTCACTCCCCGGTGTCATGTGACTTGTTAGTGTTACTCGGTCTCAGGTGTCTTAAATTTGGTGTTATTGCTCTCACACTCTCATACTGGTCACTGGAAGTTCAACATGGCACCTTATGGCAAAGAAATCTCTGAGGATCTGAAAAACAGAATTGTTGCTCTTCATAAAGATGGCCTAGGCTATAAGAAGATTGCCAAGACCCTGAAACTGAGCTGCAGCACGGTGGGCAAGACCATACAGCGGTTTTACAGGACAGGTTCCACTCAGAACAGGCCTCGCTATGGTCGACTAAAGAAGTTGAGTGCACGTGCTCAGCGTCATATCCAGAGGTGTCTTTGGGAAATAGACGTATGAGTACTGCCAGCATGGCTGCAAAGGTTGAAGAGGTGGGGGGACAGCCTGTCAGTGCTCAGACCATACACCGCACACTGCATCCAATTGGTCTGCATGGCTGTCATCCCAGAAGGAAGCCTCTTCTAAAGATGGTACACAAGAAAGCCCGCAAACAGTTGGCTGAAGACAAGCAGACTAAGGACATGGATTACTGGAACCATGTCCTGTGGTCCGATACTTATACCATGTCCTGTGGTCCAAACTCATTTGGTTCAGATGGTGTCAACCAGGTGAGGAGTACAAAGACAGTGTGTCTTGCCTACAGTCAAACATGGTGTCATGGTCTGGGCCTGCATAAGTGCTGCTGGCACTGGGAAGCTACAGTTCATTGAAGGAACCATGAATGCCAACATGTACTGTGACATACTAAAGCAGAGCATGATCCCCCTCTCTTCAGAGACTGGGCCACAGGGCAGTATTCCAACATGATAACGACCCCAAACACACCTCCAAGACGACCACTGCCTTTCTAAATAAGCTGAAGGTAAAGTGATGGACTGGCCAAGCATGTCTCCAGACCGAAACCCTATTGAGCATCTGTGAGGCATCCTCAAAGAAGGTGTGGGGAGTGCAAGGTCTCTAACATCCACCAGCTCCGTGATGTCGTCATGGAGGAGTGGAAGAGGACTCCAGTGGCAACCTGTGAAGCTCTGGTGAACTCCATGCCCATATGGGTTAAGGCAGTGCTGGAAAATAATGGTGGCCACACTTTGGGCCCAATTTGGACATTTCCACATAGGGATGTACTCACTTTTGTGTTGTTATTTTAAGGGGACAGCAAATGTACACGGTTATACAGACTGTACACTTACTTTACATTTTAGCAGAGTGTCATTTCTTCAGTGTTGTCACATGAAAAGATATAATAAAATAATTACAGAAATGTGAGGGGTTTACTCACTTTGTGAGATACTCTATATAAGATGTATTATAATAACTGCTGGTCTTTCCTCCCTCAAGTGTTGCTACTCCCGTTTCTGTCTCCCTCCACGTTAACGGTGCTACCATCAGCTCCACCACGCAGGCTCGCTCTAGGTGTTCTCTTTGACTCCGACCTCTCCTTCACCCCTCATGTTTAGTCTATCGCCAAATCCTGCGGCTTCCATATCAAAAACATTGCGCACATCCGACCCTACTCAACGCCAGATGCGGC